CAAACACGTAAAGGTGCGTATTCATTATCTGAACGAACGAACGAACGAATGAAAGTGCGGTATATTTGGACGGGGACCGAACGCATGCGGCCGTTCGTTCGTTCGTTCGCTCGACCATCCGTTTCGAGTCGGTACATCAAAGGCGTTCGCCAACAAATGCCCCCGGTCTTCTCGTGCGGTCCTATCGTGCGGTCCCCGTCCATACCACTAGCGAACATTCGTTCGTTCGTTCGTTCGTGCGGATAATGAATACGCACCTTAAGATAAACAGATAGATATATTATAATCAAGAGAAAAATAAAGAATATGTTGTTAAGGGGGTGAAACTATTCCTCAAATATTAAAATATTTTTTATTTAAAAACCGGTGAGTTTTTCCGAAAAACTCTTAACACGTATATTTTATTTTGTTGTTTTACATATTTTAAGATTTTTTATAAATTTATACAGGATGTTTCATAAAATATGACAACTGAGTAATCACGATTCTGCTTAAACTGCTTGACGTTTAAAGCTGATTTGTGGCAAACGGATTGATTGTGGGGTGTAGAGAGGTTCGATAAAGAGGGGTTTCTCGAATCTCAAATTCCAAGAGGGTGAAAACGCCCCTCAAATATTACAATATTTGTTATTTAAAAAACGGTAAGTCTTTCGGGAAAAGGCTTGGACCAGCATAATTTATTTGTTTTTTTTACATATTTTGAAATTTTTTAAAAAATCGTACAGATTGTTCCAAAAAGTTGGGTAATTTCTTAACCACGATTCTGCTTAAAATGCTTGACGTAAAAAGCTTATTTTTGGCAAACGGATTTTTCGAAAGTCATATTCCAACGAGATGAAACTACCCCTCAAATATTACCAAGTTATAGTATAATAATATCGCCATATTGTTTTTTCTCATGCTGACATAAATGTGAGAAAATTTTATCCAGTTTGTATGTTAATGGCAATTCTTGCTTTGCTTTATCATCACCATTACATATGATTAATTCGACGCGAACGAAGTCACTGGTACACGCTAGTAATTAATAATAATGTAGAATATTAATTTAATTAATATCCTACATATTCTACATCTTCTACATATTTTTTGTTCGGTAATTTCTAATAAACAATTGATTGTTTAAAAATCTCAAGTTTCAGTTCAAACTTGTGAGTTTTAATCATCTGCTGATGATGCTAACATGGTTAGCGAAACGCGCGTCCAGTGTAAAAGTAAAAGTGTTTTGGTGTATTGTGATGATTTAGTGTTTTATATTGCTGTTGTAACACCAAAAGTTCCAACCTACAACTGTAATAATGTATATTTTATGTAAACTATATCATTTTTAAAATACAAACAAAAAATCTGAGCAATAATTTTGTATTCCATGAATTTTACAACACATTTATTAATCCGTAATATCTACTTAGTATGACGTCATAAATCTCGCCTCAAGGCTGTTCTCCTATAGAAGGCTGTATACACTGATTGGCTACCTATTTTAGACTATGAAAACGGTAAAGAGAAATTATATTTATTTTATCAAGTTCTAGGTATCAGCCCTGAAAATATTGAAACTAAGACACATATTGACTCACCCTGTATATCAAAACATTTAACCCAAAGGGAAATACGAAACTGTTGATCATTTTTTCAATTCTTACTTTATTTTGAATTGTAAAAATGAGTTGAATTGTAATATTTTATGAGCTACCGACCCAAGCCTATTAGTTTTTCACCCCTTTTAATTTTTTATGCTACTTTTGATTTTTAAAATCGATTTATTTGTTAATTTGAAGTTTTTTATTTGATGTAGGTAGACAAACGATATAAACCAAAAGCCTATCCCAAAAACCATATTTAGCTTTTCATTTAACCAATTTACACCAAAACAACAAAGATTACAATATATTTAGTTGTAGAAAATACGATTAAATAAAATAAAATTATAAGCATTTGTTTTTTAGATTGAACAAGTATCAACGTGATACATATGTATCTAATTCAAAATAAAAAAGGAATGTATGAAAAAAACATGAATATAAACGAGGTAAGTAGCAATAAACAATACCTTTATGAATATTCCATTCATCCTTTGTCACATTCCTTTGCATTTCTGAATTAAAATTGCAAAAATAAAGAACAGAGTACATGAAAATAATGTTGAGTACATAAAACCGATTAATATCGCAGTTCAACACTTTATCGTTTGAATTCTGAATTCCAAATGTATTGTGTTGTGGCGAAAAAAAAACATAAGGAGAAAAAACAAGTACCAACCTTTTAACCATATCAGAAGCCGTTTTAAACAGTTTGGAAACGACTTTTGGAAATCCTACGAACTGAAACAATTGAACCACTAATCCCTCACTAGATTCCTGGAAGAAATTCTATCGAAAGTCATCAGTTGTTTACTGAAATAATGCATAGTTGGAGTACACTCGCACTTAAAACTAAACACTACTCCTTTTTCAGTTAAGCGTGCACTTAATGACCTGAAGCAATCAATATCCAATTCGGCCGATCGAACTGCAGTTTATAAATTTACAAATCCGATTTCTTTGTCGCACGAGGATCAACACACTTCACAAAAACAGAACTTTAATGAACAATGGCGCATATGGCAATGGCGCCGATCTGTCAGATGGAAGCTAAGCGCTGTTGCCAACTGTGATAAATTTAATATTTTTCTTTCTTCCAACTTTCTGAATTTATATATTTCCCAGTTAAAATGCTTATACAACCAGCAAAAATCATGGTAATTCTGGGAAAAACCAACAACTTTTCTGTTCATTCCTTTTTCAGAGATTCATTTATAAAAATTTAAAGTGAGTGTACACGACACGTGAATATGTAGTTGCATAACTTATAGCGAAATGTACAGGGTCCCCCAAAAATGCGTCGGGTATCTGTTGTAGGTCCTATAAAAATAACTTAAAGTAGTAAATTTTTTTTAAGGACAGCGCAGGTGACAGCGCATCCTTAAGGACGTACTATAGGGGCCTATTTAAAAAAAAATATTTTAACTTCTACAGGGTGGTTCAAAAAAGTGTGAGAGGATCGAGATGATTTTTAAATGAAACACCCTGTATATTATTGCATTTTTGGCTTCAATCTTAATCACTTTACGTAGTTCTAAAATGTAATTAAATTTGTTTTTATAATCTCATAGCGATAAATAAATAAATGAAAAAAAATTTATCTCAAGAATTAAAAAAAATAATAAAAATATGTATAAGTTATGTCCTGAAATCAAAACTATCCTAGGTACTTGGTCTGCACTTACTTTATTATAAACATCGTAATCTTAAATCATATACGGTGTATTCAAAATTCTATGTCAAACTTTATAAATATAAAATACTTTTTCTTCGTTTTATTAAAATGGGACACATTGTATATTATTGTTTTGTTAGATGAAAAATTATTAAATAAACATTTTTTATATTTAAAGTATTTTTAAATTTTTAACGGTTTCGCAGATATTTGCGTATTATATTAGGTACATATACAGGGTGGCACCTCATTCGCCTCGGTTGATTATACGAAAACGGAAAGATGTAGAAACAAAATATTTTATGGGTATATGTGGGAAGACAATGTGCATAATTTAAAATTATTTTTAAATGTACAGGGTGTGTCAGAACTAAGATCCATACCAAAGTTATATTTTTTCTTATGGAACACCCGGTATTTAATTCATTTTTGGATTTTAGGACATAAAATAAGTTATTTATTATGAGGGTTTAATATGTTTACAAGCTTTGGTTTTTGAGATATTTAAAGATATTTAAATATGCATGCTATAATAAAAAAAAAGATTGTCAACACCCTGTACATTTCTTTCCAGAATTAATTCTTGTGCTGACTTTTAAACCAAAGAAATAAACTTTACTGAAAAATTGGATTGCTTCGTTTATTGTATACAGGGTACAGGGGTATCAAAAATTGCTGGTCTATTTCAAATATTTATTTTACATAAAAACTTTGTTATTGCAAATACAACACCCTGTATTTTTTAAATAAATCGAAGCAGATTTAAATGCTCTTTCAAACTATATTAGGATTTCCTATACCTATCTAACTCAGATTTTGAATAAAGGACAATTTTTCAATAAAATGGCAACCTATAGAGGGCTAGTGTTGTCATGGCAAGTTTCTAGTGACAGTTAGGAGCTATTTTCAAACTCAAAATTAGTTTATGGACTTATTTAAATTTACACCAGTTTACTTTTATTTAATTTACCTACAATAGTTTAATAAATAATATTTATTAAATATGTATTTATTATTCTATCAATTTTTGCCCATTTTCATAAAACCAAAAAAAAAGAGTATTTTATATTTATAAAGTTTGACATAGAATTTTGAACACACCGTATATGATTTAAGATTACGATTTATTGGTTAAAAAGAACAAAAAATATAGATAGCTGACAATTGTTACACTTATGTAAAATGAAAAAAAAAAAAAGATCGGTGAATTATTTTGATTACAAAAGTACCTAGTACTTCTATGTCTATGAAATATTAAGACACCCTGTATTGCCACGTTCCTGATTCATTGTTGCGCAATATTTCTAAATTTAAAATTTAGCAAAGAAAGTGATTTCTATATTCATTTTAATTAACAAATAACAAATAATATATACAAACACTAAATCTGAATATCATGTTGCACTTATTTATACAGTATGATCGAAAAAAACGGCGTCCAGTTGGCTGGGAAATGAACATTGATGACAATTACCATATAAATTGACATATAAAATGACAGCGATCTTCATTCCATAGCCATCGCTGACGCCGTTTTTTCTCGATCATACGGTATAAAGTCAAGATGATGTTAAAATTTACTAAGATAATATAATATAAGACAAATAAATTAGTTATTACAAAGGATCCTATAGGTATAAGGGTTGAAAGATAAGTATATGAATAATTTAATTTTGAAAACTACCCAGGACTATTTCTACACATCCTAAAATATAAAGAATAATATAAAAATCATATTTTACCTTTTACATTTTGTAATAATAACCTCCTTCATGATTTTTCGTCTTTTAGAACTGCGAAAAAACGGCGTCGAATGGCTCAGTTCAACCTCACCCATGATTAGGATTTTGGCACACACTTTAATTGGCTTTTTTGCCATTGTTTTAGTCCTACACACCAACGACAGACTGTAAAATCGGGCGTAGTTTCCATATCTGTTACGTAAACATTTAAAGGTCACTTATTTTTCATAGTTCCCTGGTAGAATAGCATTTTACACCACGTCGATTAAACCCATTGGTCGGGTATTTTAAACATAAATTAACGCATGCGGCTTGAAAAAATTTGAAAAATTCGAGGAAGACGAGAACTTTTATCCAATCCCTTATACAAAACTAAAGTATTTATAAAGTCGCGTCAAAGTATAAACAATAATATACAGAAATATGAATTAATATGAAATCATACATAAACACAGCAGACACTAACACATAAGGAGAAGAATACCGAGAAGAATGAAAACTTATTGCCTTCACCCGCCAACAGACTACCTATAAACTGGTTGAAATGAGTCACTAAAATTGTGAACTTTCGTGTGCTTTCGTTCTGAATAAAAACTACAGGTCTTAACTTGTGTTTTTGAAACTGTTTTGGAATACCGAGAAGTGCAATGTCCAATGCATGACCTATTATATCTATTTTAAAACTAATAAAATATTATATTTATTTTAAAAATGGTTTTCAATACAACTTATTAATTAGTTATAGCAAAATTTATTACGTTATAATCATACGTACTTATAAGTACGTATAAACAAAGAATATTAATTTGTTATTTTAAATTTATAATGAAAATATACCTAATAAAGTTTTATTCTTTTGCAAAAGTTAATGATTCGCCATGTTAAACAGTGGAGCTGAAATAAATAAATTATAGTTATTATTATTAGACAAAATAACATACAAATAATAAGTATTGTTAATATTTTAAAGATGTCAAATTATATGATAAGGAATAATATTTAAACTTATGCTAACTAATATAATCATATAAAAACTACCGGGTGCGTCTTAAAAGTGGCTCACCCCTATAACTTTTTAATTTTTTTCAGATACAAAACAACGAGATTTGGTATGTTAGCATATGACATGAATTAGGATTAATTGACGTATTCAATTGTTTTTGGTCAATTCCTGTTTCACCGAAAACGAGTACAAGTTTTGAATTTTAAATGACACCTTCGGTATTTTTTACTTCATTCGATAGAAAATGACACTCTGACTAGGATGACATTTTAAATTTCAATCTAGAGTGCCATATGGTTGTATTAAAACACTAATTTTTATTCCAGGAGCCTGGAGCCTTGGAAAAATAGATTTGGTCGTCTAATGTTTTTCGTGTCTTGTTCTGGTCGGTTAAAGATGCCCAAATCGCATGTTTAATCATATCTCAATTTTTTCAAAGTACGAGGGTGGCCCATTAGTATATTTGGAAAAAGCATTTTTTTAAGAATAACTTGGTACGAATATGAATACACTTGGTATTTTGAGTCAAATTATCTTTATGAACCACATATGATGTGCGCATGGTTACAATTTCAAATAAACCAATGAGAAAATGTCAAAAGTTAACCTATGATACGTCATTCTATTCAGAGTGTCATTTTGGGTAGAATAAAGTAAAAAATGTGTGTCATTTAAAAATACCAATACCATTTTTTTATGTGAAAAAGTGAAAAATTTGTAGGGGTGAGCCATTTTTAAGACGCACACGGTATATTGATATATATATATATATATATATATATATATATATATATATATATATATATATATATATATATATATATATATATATATATATATATATATATATATATATATACAACGTTTTTTCAGATGGAGCGGAGCGTCCCCGCGGACCGTCCGCCAGTTCCATAACTTTAACAGCGCTTTCAGATGGAGCGGAGCGTCCGCGCGTACCGTCCGCGAGTTCCATGAGTTTAAATGAACAATTTCACATGGGTCGCGTATGCTCCGTCCGGATGAGCTATCTTGAAAAAACATCCGCACGTACCGTCCACCAGTTCCATGAGTTTAAATGAACGATTTCACATGGGCCGCGTATGCTCCGTCCGGACGAGCCATTTTGAAAAACATCCGCGTGGACGCTCCGCTCCATCTGAAATCGGTGTAATATAGGTAGTCAAACGTAATTCAATATATTTTTAAAGTGAAACTCCTTTAAGCGGCCCATACATTATCAAACAAATTGCGCAACAAAGCGATGCGCAACGCTGCGTTGCACAACTGCATAACCCATACACTTGGTAAAATTTTGATCAAACTTTTTATTAAAAGTTGTGCATTGTTTGAGAAACAATCATGTCCTCAATTGCCATTGCGTCAATTATTATCGTATATACCCTAGCTGATAAGCTGATGTCGATGATACCAAAACACGAAAAAGAAAACAAAGAATTTGGATGAAAGAACTAAAATATTGCACAACGAAGCGCAACACACACATACACTACACAACGCGTTGCGCAAACAGTCCTGTTGCACAAAAGAATTCAAACATTCTTGAAACTCATCAAACAATTGCGCAACGCATCAAACACTACCATACATTGGCAACTCGTTGCGCAACGTAATAATGTATGGGCCGCTTTATGCGCGCTGGGAGTAAAAATTCAAGGTCGTGACACACACGGTAATAAAAAGAGGTAACGGATTAAGGTACATTCAGGCTGAGAGCGTCGAGCGTCGAGTTGCGTTTGCGTCGCGCCCGCGTGTCGAAATGGAATCAATTCGCTTAACTTAAATTAGACCATTCAGGCAGACAGCGTCGCGTTTGGCGTTGCGCTAGCGTCCGCTGAGCGTCGGGGGTCGAGTTCAATGGGGCGGACGCGACGCTCGACGCTCTCAGCCTGAATGTACCTTTAGAAATAGTAGTGATGCGACGTGTATTTGTGAGCTGTCTACATATGTATTTATAAAAAATATTGATATTTTAATACACATTTAGTGAAAGTGGGTCAAATTTTTACGTGTAAAATAACTATTTGTTAAACGTAAAAAACTATTCGTTACACATAAAGAACTATTTGTTACACGTAAAAAACTATTTGTTACGCGTAAAAACTTATTTTATTCATTTTTTATTTTACGCGTACTAAACAAAACTATTTGTTGCACGTAAAAAACTATTTTTTATGCGTAAAAAACTATTTGTTATACGTAAAAAACTATTTTTTACGCGTAAGAAACTATTTGTTACACACAAAAATTTGTTAACACTATTTGTCGTTACACACTGTTACTATTTGTTACACGTAAAAAAAATTGCTACACGCAAAAAACTATTTCTTACACGTAAAAAACTATTTGTTGGGCGTAAAAAAATATTTATTATATAGTTTAATACTTTTTAACACTTCAAACTACACTTTTTCAAACATGTCCTTCAAATCCTTCAATTTAATAGTTGTTATTAAGAAGTTTCACATCAAATATGCGCACATAGTGCACATACGATTTTTTTTTGATATAAATATAATTAGTAAATTCAAATTTTAATAAAAAGATTTTTTTTTTAAATAAATATTATTTTTTTAAGTTCTGCTATAGAGTATAGTTCTAGATTTGTTCTAGATCTATTTTTTATTTCTTATTCTAGGTCAAGTTTATTTTTTTCTTGAAAATAGTCTTTTCATTACAGGCATCTGCAACTATTTTTTTTTTCATTCAAAGTAATCTTTGAAATAAAGAATTAAATATGATAATTGATAAATAAGATGAAAATTATTATTGTCACTTTTCAGTCTTTGATTCTTTATTTTTCAGGAACTCGGGAATTTTTCTAACATATTGGCAACAGTGCAATATTTTTTGACGTATTTCAGATTTGTCTTTGACATATGACATGACGGATATTTTCGCGCCAAAACAATAGACGTGCTTGTGAGGATTGTGTAGTTTTGTTTCTATCGTTTTTGGTTTAATTAATTATTATGGAAGGGTTTGACGAGCCCCAAATTTTCTTTAGTGATAACTGGGGAGGTGAAGAAAATCAAGGAGATAATGGTACAATTAATTTGCAAGCAGTAAAGAAGAAATTCAAGGAATTTATAAGGCAATTTCACACAGAAAATTTCAACTATAAATACAGGTAACAAATTTGCTTAAATTCCAGTTATTTCTTTTAATTACAATAGATTTTTTGTTGTGCAGAGATAATTTGACGCGTAATTATAACCTTCGTCACTATTTTTTGGATATTAACGTCGAAGATTTGGGAAATTTTGATGAAACTTTGGCAGATAAGTTGTTTAAACAACCGGCAGAACACCTGCCCATCTTTGAAGAAGCTGCTACAGAAGTGGCTGATGAGTTAACAGCACCCAGGCCTGAAGGAGAAGAAAAAGTAGAGGATATTCAGATTATGTTTAATTCAGAAGCCCATTCATCCAATTTAAGGGCCTTGAAGGTAAGAAATACAATTTGCTTAAAATCTTATTGATCTTAATAATTGTTTATTTTTTATAGTCTGATGTAGTGTCGCGTCTGGTTAAAATCCCTGGTATTATTATTAGTGCCTCAGGTATTAAGGCAAAAGCAACAAAAATATCAATTCAGTGTCGATCATGTAGCAATGTTATATCAAATTTACCAGTTAAAGCTGGACTTGAAGGCTATGTTATGCCACGCAAATGTAACACGTAAGTCAATACAACAAGGAAAATGTTTTAAAATAACTCCCTCATATTTATTTTTAGAGAACAAGCAGGTAGACCTAAATGTCCATTAGATCCGTATTTTATTATGCCTGATAAATGCAAATCCGTTGATTTTCAAATACTCAAACTGCAAGAGTTACCTGATGGTATCCCACAAGGAGAAATACCTAGACATATGTTGTTATATTGTGATCGGTATTTGTGTGATAAAGTTGTACCAGGCAACAGAGTATTTATATTAGGAATATACTCGATTAAGAAAGTTTCTAGGCCATCTAAAGTATGAATTTATCACTTTGTATTTGGGACAATAAATAATTCATTATTTTTTTTAGAGAGAAGGTAGAGAAAAAGCTATTACAGGTGTGAGGGCAGCATATATGAGAGTCTTGGGCATGCAATTAGATAACGACGGAATTGGATCTCCGGGATGTGGTGTGGTAACCTCTGCAGAGGAAGATCTATTCCGGAGAATGGCAGCCATGCCAAATATTTACGAGAGATTGGCCAGCAGCGTGGCACCTTCAATTTATGGAGCCTTGGATATTAAAAAAGCAGTCACTTGTTTACTTTTTGGAGGTGGAATGCTTTAACTTTATACATTTTTTTTACATTTGATATAATGTTTTGTATTTCAGGTTCCAGAAAAAGGTTGCCAGATGGTCTAACTAGGAGGGGTGATATTAATGTGCTTCTGTTGGGTGATCCTGGTACTGCCAAATCCCAATTGCTTAAGTTTGTTGAACGAGTAGCCCCAATTGCTGTGTACACATCAGGTATTTTTTTATTTATTTAAATGATAGATACTTTTTATGATTATTACAATGACACAGATCATCAAAATTTTAAGGCAGTAATAATTGCTGTTAAAATCCAGCATAATTTAAATCATTGCTAAGGGGGAACAAAAAATAATATAGGTAACTGCATGAAAAAAAAATATTTTTTATCATACTATTTAATACTTTTATAGTATGCGTAGTCCCAGTCATTTGGTAAAGGCATAGGGTAAAAACTAGGCGTTTACTTGATTTGAATTTACAAAAATGTTTATAACATAATAATATAGCCTTAGATTAAGAATTCTGTAAGATTATAGCAATTTGTAATGTGCTTCTTAACTACTTTTTAAATAGAACACTTTGGAAAATATATTTTTTTTTATTTTCAATGCTAAATGAAGTATATTAGGTGAGTACAGAATTACATTAAAAAAATACATTTGTTTAGTTTTTTACTATGTATTTATTACAATGATGAGTATGTTTAATACATTTACATAATATTATACAATAGGTTAGTGGTCAATCTGTTCCATTAACTAAACTAAAAATAAGTATTTATTATTCGAAAATTTATAATCAATAAAATGTCAAATTATTTCAGAGTTTATTATTTTTTAAATATTAATTTAAAGGAGTATATTAAAAAGTGTTATATAAGGTTTATAAGTAACTATAAAAAAATTCAGGTGATTGCATTTTAAAAAAGTAATAGGGGAGCCTTATATAACATTTTTCAATTTGACGTTTATTTTTTTATATTTTTAAATCTACTATAGAAATTGATTCATTTCCTGTTTCACCGGAAATGAAAACTTTAGAATTTTAAATGGCACCCTCGGGATTTTTTACTTTGTTTGATACAAAATGACACTCTGAATAGAATGACATATCATGTCAACTTTTGAAATTTTCTTATATGGTTTATTTGAAACTGCAACCAAATACCAAATGTGTATTGATTGTATTGTATTGTATTTTACTAAAAGTGAGTCCCAGGTGGGACCCTCCACTGAGGCCGCGAGGGCCTATTGTGGCTCAGTTTCTACAAGCTCTTTAATAGAAAAAGAGCGTTAAAGTTCACCCTCAAGACCCAGCCTTTTAACATAGGCCGTTATGTCCGAGAGTGATATGTCCTCTAGGTCTGATATGTCTAGCGTGGGTTTGCCAAACACTTCAAACCTGGTCCTGCCCCCAACGGGGCAGGTACACATAACGTGCTTCATTGTTTCGTCATCTTCCATACAGAGTCGGCATTCGGCGTCTTCCACCAGTCCCATCCTCTGTAGGTGTGATCTCAGCCGGCAGTGGCCCGTGTATACTGCAGTAAGCGTACGCGCTCCGTTCCTACCAGCCTTTAGGAGTTCATCTGTTCTACGTTTGGATGGCCCTGCTAGGATTATCTTGGCATGTTCCATTCCGGGACTGTCATACCAGTCCCGAAACGTTACACGCCTAACCCATTCACAGATCCTGTCTCTTGCGAGATTTTTTGGTACGCTAAGTGTCGGTTCTGGGCCCACGAATGGCGAGCCTGCACCAGTTTTGGCGAGGGAATCAGCACGTTCATTTCCCTCTAGGCCGACATGTCCCGGTATCCATATTAGCGACACTTTGTTTCCATCTCCTAATATATTGAGTAGTTTCTTACAATGAAGAATCGTCCTGGACGTACTTTTCGTTGCCTCAAGTGCTTTCAACGCGGCTTGACTATCCGAAAATATGCTTATTGTTTTCCCGGTGTATTGCTGTTCTACCAGCAGTTGCACACAGGTTTCAATCGTATATAGCTCAGCTTGGAAAACTGTGGTGTGTTTTCTAAGACTGTGGTAGATCTCAGTCTTTGGACTGCTGCAGTAAATTCCTGCGCCAGATCATTTTTCGTTTTTGGATCCGTCCGTGTACCAACACATTGCCGCAAGTAATAAGCCGTTTCTCGGCTTATCCCATTCATCCCTATTCGGAAACAGGACGTTGTAGATGCGCGTCAAGAGTTGGATTGGTGGTGTGAGATCCGAGACCATTCCCAGAATCTCATCCGATTGTAGTTCGTCTACTAGTCGGTTTTGTATGAATATGATTGTTCCTTGGCTCTCTCGTGCCATATTTAGAAACCTATATGTAGCCCATCTCACCTCTCTTTCCAAAAGAATTTGAAGAGGAGGTAGGTCGAGTAGGGTTTCCATAGCTTTTGACGGCGTGGAATGGAAGGCACCAGTCACCGCTACCGTACCAAATGTGTGGTATCAGATTATTGGTAAAAAAATGCTGTTTCCAAATATTAAGGTCCGACCGAACCTAGATTTTTAGTCTCGGCCGAGACCGAGACCGAGAGAAAAAAATTCTCGGCCGAGAACGTGACCGAGACCGAGACACAAAACAAAATTTATTCAATAGTTTAGTATATGAAAAAAACATTTTTTGATAATAATGTAAAAAAAACGTTATTTTCATGCAAAAACGGTTTTATTGGTATTTAATACTATAAAATTACTAATACTAAGAAAATTACTATTTTTTTAAATCGTCACAGAAGTATTAATTTTTACGACGTGATTGTTTTGTGCGATACTTAAAAATTATAATACGCTTTAAAATTATATATTTTAGCTAATTTGACGAATGTGAGTAGTCTCGGCCGTGGCCGATAATCTCGGCCTTTTTATGCCGAGAACGAGACCGAGATCTTGGCCTCATTTTTCGCCGAGAATGACTGTAACCGAGACCGTGACCGAGATCTCGGTCGGACCTTACCAATTATGCTAATGACCCACCTTCGTTCAATTTGAAAAAAATTGAGATATGATTAAAAATATTTGGGCATCTTTTAACTGGCCAGGACAAGACACTAAAAACATTAGACGATCAAATCTATTTTTCCAAGGCTCCTTGATTAAAAATTAGTGTTTTTAACACAGCCATGGCACTCTAGATTGAAATTAAAAATACAATTTTGTTTTCAGCGAAAATGTCAAAAGTTGACATATGATATGTCATTCTATTGAGAGTGTCATTTTCTATCAAATAAAATAAAAAAATACCGAGAATGCCATTTAAAAATCAAAAGTTGCAGTCATTTCCGGTGAAACAGGAGGTGGCTGAGAAGAACTGAATATGTCAATCAATCCTCATTTTTGTCATATACTAACATACCAAATCTCGTTTTTTCTATCTGAAAAAATAAAAAAGTAATAGAGTTGAGCCAAATTTGAGACGCACGCGGTATGGTTTTGTTTACTTAATTATTTTTTTGTTGTTTTTAAGGCAAGGGCAGTTCAGCGGCTGGTCTAACAGCGTCTGTGATGCGAGATCCAGCCTCCAGAAACTTTGTTATGGAAGGAGGAGCGATGGTTTTAGCTGATGGCGGTGTCGTTTGTATCGACGAGTTCGATAAAATGAGAGAAGACGACAGGTACTTTTTAGATTTTAGATTAAGTATACTAAAAGATATAGCACACCCCCACAATATCAATGGAAGTTTTTATGCGCGTAATGAACACAGCTTTGCCAACAAAAATCTGATTTGCTTATAGAGAGCCTACGTCCACACAGAAAGTAAGTAAAGCGTTTTAAGCTGTAAAGTATTTAAAGCGTCTCTTCCGATTTTAACGTTTGAAGCTTTTATTGCGATTTGTGTCCATTAAAAGACACGCGAAAGATGCGGCACTTTCTATCAAGATGTCAAGGAGTAAGGTCGCAAGGAAATTATTACTAACTGAAAAATCAAGCCGCGTTGAAAGCGCTTTAAGCAAAGAAAAGCGCGCCTATTAGTTCAGGCCTGCTTGGAAAAAAGTCCGGAAGTTTTGCAACTTTGCAGGTTTATAGGTTTTGGGGTCCCTAACTAAAATCCATAAAATGCACATTTCCAGACTTGCCGCCGGCGCCGCCATCTTGCCAAGATGGCGCCCAAAATCGGTATTTTGTAAATATCTCGAAAATTATGCGTTTTTCGCAAAAATTTTAAGGGATCAAAATTAAAGAGAATAAAGTTTCCTATAAAAAAGGTTCTACGAAAATTTTCGCTAGAGTCAACCGTTTAGGCACAAAATCCCTGGAAATTTTACAATTTTGCGTAAAGTATGATTATTATGTATAGTCGATTTTCCGAAATCAAATGTCGATTAGGGTACATTAAAACTAGTTTTAGTTTAGTTTCTTCAATTTTGTCATCAAACAGTGGCGTATCATTAATTCGCTCATTAATTTATGAATAAATTAATTGTCGTGCTGGACAGCATTCATTGCGAACTTACCACCAGGTTCAGCATTGGTCTGGTTGTACCAAAGATGCCGAAGAATGGGGTTGGAAGAAAACAAAAACAGGCATTACTCCAGTCACAACGTTGAAAGATCCAGCTCCAAAATCCCTATTGGCATTTTTATCCTGTAAATGCAAAACCAACAACTGTGGTAAAGCCTGCGGACTGCGGATGCAGAAAAGCAGGATTAAAATGTTCAATGATTTGTGCATACTGCAATGTACTGCAATGGGAAATCCTGTGACAACGTCACTGAAGTGTCACTCCACGGATCCGATGAAGAGGAGTTGGACTTGCCTGGAAATATCCCTCTGGCGGCTGAAGATGAAGAGTTGGACGAATTGAGAGATCACCCTGATGAGCCCAGCACATGGTTAAAGTTTTTAATTTACCTAGTGGAGTAGGACTCCGGGGAGACGACGTTAAAATAAACGCGCCATGTACTTTACCTCTTGCATGGTGTGGAAACAAGTACACATTTTCAATAATTAAAATTAATTATTCATAAATTAATGAGAAAATTAATGATATGCCACGGTTTCATGACAAAATTGAAGAAACTAAACTAAAACTAGTTTTAGTGAACCCTAATCGACATTTGATTTAGGAAAATCGACTAATGTATAGTCGATTTTCCGATAGTCGAAAATCCCTGGAAATTTTATAATTTTGCGTAAAATATGATTTATTATGTAATAAATTTATTTATTTTATTTTTATTTTATTTATTATGTAATAAATCATATTTTACGCAAAATTATAAAATTTCCAGGGATTTTGTGCCTAAACGGTTGACTTTAGCGAAAATTTTCATAGAACCTTTTTTATAGGAAATTTTATTCTCTTAAATTTTACTCTCCTCAAATTTTTGCGAAAAACGCATAGTTTTCGAGATATTTACAAAATACCGATTTTGGGCGCCATCTTGGCAAGATGGCGGCGCCGGCGGTACGTCTGGGAATGTGCATTTTATGGATTTTAGTTAGGGACCCCAAAACCTATAAACCTGCAAAGCTTCAAAACTTCCGGATTTTTTTCCAAGCAAAAATCCCCAATGACTGAACTATATGACGATTGTTAATTGTAGGAAACTTCTCAATTTATTAGGAGATATGAACAAAGTGTCGCTGAAATGGATACCGGGACATGTCGGCCTAGAGGGAAACGAACGTGAAAACTCTCTCGCCAAAACAGGTTTACCATTAGTGGATCCAGAACCGACACTTAACGGTGCAAAAAATCTCGCTAGAGACAGGCTCTGTGATAGGGTTAGGGGCATGATGTTTCGGGACTGGAATGACAGTCCCGAAATGGTCCCCAAACCAAACATGCCAAGAAAATCTTGTAAGGGCCATCCAAACGCAGAACAGGAGATCTCTCAGAGGCCGGCAGAAATGGAGCGCGTACGCTCACTGCAGTATACACGGGTCACTATAGGTCACTGATTAGTAATTTTCTACTAAGCTCCGCCCACTACATGCGCAATATCTTCTGTTAATTGTATCATGACTCTGCGACATGATACAATAAACGAAAGATAATATCCTTGCCGGTCGCAAATCTGCTCTCCGCGCGCATGACGTCACCCGGGTAGTAATTTTCTTTTAAGCTCCGCCCACTACATGCGTAATATCTTATCTTTACCGTTATTGTATCATGACTCTGCGATAAAGATCCTGAAACAGCGGAGCACATAATATGTCATTGCGAGGCTCTGGATCGCAAGCGACACTTTTTATTTGGAAAAGCAAGGTTAGAACCGGAGGAACTATGCTCCCATCCTATCAAGGACATGCATAAGTTGGTGTAGGGACAGGGATAGGAGAATGGGTGCAGACGTAGAAACGAGACAAACACAATAGGCCTCACAGGTCGCAGTGTTTCCAGGAGATGATGTTCTGATTGATGTAATGGATGGCCATTTGCATAACGCCTTATCTGACTGTCGCTTCCAATATTTTTTCCTTTAAGAAATAAAAATATTTCATTAATTATATCTTTACATTAAAACTTAGACCAATCAATTTATGCATCTATTTGTATTCAGAGTTGCCATTCATGAAGCTATGGAACAACAAACAATTTCCATCGCCAAAGCCGGGATTACGACTACTTTGAATTCTAGATGCTCTGTCCTTGCCGCCGCAAATAGTATTTTCGGACGATGGGATGAAACTAAGGTATTTTCTTTTTTTCGTGGTTTTAGAAGAGGATGCATAATATCTTATGTTGTTTTAGGGAGATGAAAATATCGATTTTCTGCCCACAATTTTGTCTAGATTCGATATGATTTTCATTGTTAAAGATGAGCATGACCAAAGAAGAGATATGGTAAGACATTTTTAGCCGACCATACCGACAGGTATGGTAGGCTATTAAGATCGACAAAAAAATAGTTTTTTTTAATTTCACTCAAAATGAGTTCTTTGGGTCATAAATGACCTAAATACAAAATATTTTCATGGTGTCTGTCTGTCTGTCCGTCTGTAACACGATAACTCAAAAACCGCTAAACCGATTTTAACCAAATTTGGCACAAAAATACTGTGGCACCCGAGAATCTGGCCATTAGTTTTTGGTGGGGGTGGGGGTTGGTAAGGGAGTATGGGAGGGTGTTAAAAATTTTAAAAAATCGTAACTCCAAAATTACAGTAGCTAGCGAAACGCGGTTTTCAATTTAAGATTAGGAATAATATTTGCAAGAAAATTTGTAATAACATTAAAATCTGTCAAAGTCGCAGTTTTTGAGATAAAAAAATATCAAGTATGTAGCATAGGGTCTGGTGTCGACATCTGTAACCCCAGAATAAACTTTGTGAATTTGTTCGCAACCCAGCATGTGTCAGGATCGATGCCTGAGTTTATCTTAGGTGGTTTCAGAGGACTGATGATTTTAAATGGAAGACCTCACATTTTTGGCTTCCTTCAGACTTTTCATGTCCTAAGATATGAGTAAATCCATTTGATAGTTCCAGAGATATTGGGTGTGTCAACAAAAATATATATTTTTCAGCCCTTCTTAAAAAAATTATTAAAAATACAAGAACTGTTCTGAAATCAAAACTATATTAGGTATTTACTTTAGATGGTCTGTTCTTACTTTGCTATAAAATATGGTAATCGTAAATCATACAGGATGTTCAATATTCTACGCCAAACTTTCTAAAATATAAAATATTTTTTCTTCGTTTTTTTGAATGGAACACCCTGTATATTATTTTTTTATTAAATTGAGAATTAAAAAGTGAACATTTTTTGTATTTAAAGTATTTCAAAGTTTTTAATAGTTTTGCGGATACACGTCGTATTATTTCATATGGCGCTTTCAATGGTAAAATACGAGAAAAAAATCATTGGGTGGCTTTGATAATAATTTACTGTGCAAAATGCCATATGAAATATGAAACCAGGAATATCTGCGAAACCGTTAAAAAATTTGAAATACTCTAAATACAAAAAATCTTCATTTGTTAATTCTCCATCTATTGAAAAAATAATATACAGGGTATTCCATTTAAAAAAACGAAGAAAAATAATTTTATATTTTAGAAAGTTTGGCGTAGAATTTTGAACATCCTGTATGATTTACGATTTCCATATTTATAGCAAAGGAAGTACAGACTATCTAAAGTAAATATCTAATATAGTTTTGATTTCAGGACAGTTCTTGCATTATTAATAATTTTTTTAAGAAATACTTAAAAATATATAATTTTTATTTGTTTATTAATATCTCTGAAATTATCAAAATATATTTACTCAGGATCTTAGGATTATGTAAAGCGATCTGAAAGGAAGCAAAAAATGCAATAATATACAGGGTGTTCCATTTAAAAAAAATCATCCAGATCCACTCACACTTTTTTGAGCCACCCTATAGAAGTTAAAATATTTTCCTGAAATAGATCCTAGTACATACTTTAGGTTTGCACTTAATCAAAATTCCCAAGTAGTTTATTCTAGGAGCTACAGATGCCCGACGCACTATTGCCGGACCCTGTACGTGCCTCCCGGTGCCAATTTTTTCTAAGTCATTTCCATATTATATTTAGCATTCCCAATGGGAATAGTTTGACATGTATTTATCAGAAAGTATACATCTCTGTATGAAACACAACCATCTTTTTCAATTTTGTTAAATATATGTGCTTTTCATATACAGTATGTTCTCGGATGGCCTTTACAGGAGCAAAAAAAAATGTTTTTCTGAAATTTTGAGAAAAATGTATTCTTTATAAAAAATTTTGCATGTTCTGAAATGGTTAAATCCGTTTATACTTTTCCAAATTTCTATACGTTTTAGAGAAAATTAAAAAAAAACAGAAAGTGTAATTGAAATGAATTGAAGAATTGAGAATGATTTTTTTATGGAATTTAAACTTGAAATTATGTTAATATAATTTCGATTTTATTCTTTGATAGATCGTTATAGTTAATTTTGATTAACGTCATATTTTTTGATGTTGTTAAAGTATCTTATTTTCTGACAACTGTTATCACCCTTTCCTCAGAATTGAACTAAATAAATTCAGTGCTTCTTTAACGTTTCAAAACAGCAAAATATGTGACGGTAATTAAAATTCTGTCATTAATAATAAATCAAAGAATGAAAACGACATTGTTGTCGCGTCACTAAAACTACCCATCTTAACACGTCTCCTTGGAAATAAAAGCCGTATTTATTTACATATATACAACCTTTATTAACTACTGAGCTTACTTGCAACTAATAATAATCAAAATCCACGAATAAATGATTAATTAAAAAGAGAATGGAAAAGCGTAAATTATACAAAACCCGGTACGACTCCGCCTTCCGCTTTCTTTTAAATTCTATACGATACTAAAGACTAAGATCAGAGTAAGTAAACCGACGAGTAGCGACAGTCCCGTTTTCAATTTTCTTTGCGGCTGCGCGAAATAAGTAGGTTATCTGTCATATGATGAAGCGAAGTTGCCACTGTTGCCATTTATCAAATATCTCTATACTTTGTTTCAAGTATACCTCAGGCAACGAATCGTTTTTTTTAATTATTTATTAGCTATAAGATATTTTATACATTCAAATTTAGAAATAAGGATAAAACAAAACAAAAAAAATATGTATAAAACTTTATAATTAATTCCACTTCAAATTAAGAGCAATGTAGACCATGTTTATAGAACCACTTCATAAGTTGAGCAGTTAAATACGTAGTCTATCTGCCAAACACGTCAAAAGAGAGAGAAAGAAAATTTGGTACCACCACATCAAAAGAGTCGACGGTTTCTGTCGCTACTCGGCGATCTACTTACTCTGCTAAGATCCTAAATATTCAGTTTTCTAAAAAATAAGGCACATGTTTTTAACTCAATACCTACTTCAAAAGCCACTTGAACTACGTCCTCGAAGGAACCCTTGTCTTCGGTCATACATTAATAAACAAGGGTTCACAAGACCAACAGTCACCAATAGTAAATGCATAAACTTTCACTTTTGAATAGGACCGAGAAAAACATGTGCATCTTAAACTGAAATTACCCTTGTTCTAAAGAATGCAACAAAAATTGTTCCCTAAAAATATATACTGGCTCTGACAATTGTATTAGAGTAGAAATGCGTTTTGATTTTTAGGACTTTGAAAAAATTCAACTACTTTTTCATGTTTTTTTATTTTCTTTATAGCGGTATGGTAATTTAGAAAAGTATAAACGGGATTAATCATTTTAGAACAAGCAAACATTTTAATAAAGAATGCATTTTTCTCAAAATGTCAATAATAAAAAGTTTTTCCTCTTGTAAAGACAATCTGGGGACATTCTGTATCTACAGTCTACTTTTGACTTAAAATGCACATTATCATTATATTCTTTTGGACACTTGTCTAATTTTTTAACATATCTTTATAGTGTCTGATTTCTATGCTAACAAATAATGATATTTCTTCAGACTTTGGCCAAACACATTATGGGTATTCACATGAACGCTGATCAAATAACTCAAGAGCCAAAGGAGGGAGAATTATCATTGGAGCTTCTTAAAAAATACATAAATTATTGTAGAACAAGATGCGGACCCAGATTAAACAAAGACGCCGCTGAAAAACTGAAGAGGCGATATGTTATGATGAGGTACTGTAATATTTTTATTTATCTCTTTTAAATTTGCTCTTTTCTGTACAGGGTGTCCCATTTTGGTTGAAATCATACGGTATCTCCGTTATTCGTGAAGATAGACGGATGTGGTTTGCACAAACCTGTGCCACTTTTTTGTCAAACGAAAGATGCCGTAAACAAAATTTTCATAGCCATCTTCGTTTCTGAGCTACAGAGTCTTTTTAAATTTTTCAATTTGCGATACCTCCTGTATCTCTGTTATTGTTAAAGATATCGAGAAGGTGAAAATTTTTAGTTGTAGAACTTTTTACGCAGAATACAGTGGCGTAGTCTGTTATTCTACAAAAAGAATATTTTTAAAGATATGAACTAAAGTTATGTTTTCTTAAATGGAATACCCTGTATATTTATAAATTATATGATCTGGCTTGCCATAAGCTTCTCAAAAATATATGTCACTCAATATTTGTTTTCACTATTTAGTGCAATATTTAAAAAAATATATTAAAAGATCAAATTTATTAGTAGGCCATGATTGATAATAAAAGAAACTAAAGAATTATTAAAAGTATTCTGCTCTCTGTCTCTTGTTTTATTTTGAGAGCCACTAATAAATTCTTTATATTATATTAGGGAAACTTAATTCTCTACCGCTGCTGTTCGTAAATCTTGGAAGCTATCATATCGGGACTTTAAATATTCCTTTTTTCTTTAGCTTATTTACGTGAAATATACTTTCAGCCAAGATGGGACTCCCCCTCACAACTTAACTTACAACAAAAATATTAGAATTTCGTTAAATGAGGAAAATGCATGTTTTTAAATAATGGTTTTAAAAAATAGTTCATATAATTACAAATTGAACAAAAAAAAAATCGTTGATATCGGTTAAGAAATACCTCTAATATAAAATAATTAAATATTGTTAATTTAAATGGTCGGGCAAACGCTCTCTACCGCGCCTTGCCGCTGTGACGTCACGCTCCGTTCTTCTGGTTGAGTGGAGCCAGACGCATGTTTATTTTACACAGTTTGCTTTTAAACGCTGTTGAATCCGAGTCAAAATTTTAGTTATTTGTGTTAATTAATACATAATTAGTAATTAGTGATATTTATAAATAGTAATGTATGAGCGAAAACAGAAAAAAATGGTACAAGGCCATGAGAAGAGATGAAAAGAAAAACGTTAAATTATCCTCTAGTTTTACGATTTATTGTTGTCAAGATCATTTTGATGTAAGTTCATATATTTATAAACAAAAATACGAGCAGCGGAAAAAAGGGGTCAAAAAGTCATATATTTATGTATATTGTCTTACATAGGTATATGAAATTTGAATGTACAGGGTTATTCATTATATTTTGACACCCACATACAACCTTAACTGCAAGTTTTAGAAGAAAACATTAAATAAAAAAGTTGCATGGTTTTTCATATGCTCTCTTTAAAAATTAATTCTAGTTATACAGGGTGTCTCAAAAAAGGTGGTCCAGAAAATTGTAGGTATTTTTCGCTTTTCAACTGTCAATATTTCGTAAACATTTGAAGATAGGTATAGGATATTATACATGAAATATATCTAGAATATCTAGAAATTTGCGAAGAATCCAAAAATATATAGGGTGTTTCACTTAAAAAAGTAACTTAATTTTGGCGTTTGCTTATGGGACACCTTGTATAATATTTTCATTACTGATAAACAATTATTTCCTATAATTTCGTAAAAAAACAATCTTTAAAAATAACAAGGGTAAGGGGGTGTCAATATATATAAAAAAACTTTCTTTTTCACGCTATGCTCTGGAGTTATTTTTCCACGTACTAAACAAATATTTTTGTCTCTTTTCACTTCTACATAACCTACAGCATTATCTCCGTACGTCTCCCTACCTGATCTGAAAAATAAGTTTATAACATTAATATTTATAACTATATAAAAGTACGTAACAGTAGGTACCTACTTATACTTAAATATGCCTCAGTACTACAAAGAATAAATGTTACATACCTCTCTGTTTTTTTCCTCGTAATTCAGCACCAATAAATTGGGAATTTGTATTTATAAAAGCAGCCAACATAAAAGCATCGATTTTTGGCAAGTTATCTGATTGTGCTTTTACAAACCCGGAATCTGCCAATACTTAAACAATTCTCAGAATACACAACACATACAAATAATAACTGCACAAAAAAGCATAAAAAGCTCCTCCAATCAACGCTAAAAGCAACAAAAATGTCTTAGTACGCCACCTAAATACGTACATAAACGGAACACGTCTGGCTGCTGCTGGCCATCGCGCGTCGACGAGAACGGCAGGTGACGTCAGACCAATAGAATATCGTTTCAATTCGCGAGGCGTCGCACAGTGCTTCGAACATATGGCTCTAGAGGACAAAAATTAAAAACTTCTCTTTTATTGTAGGCAATTTATTCAAACTAGGTTTATTTGACACAAATGATGAGTACTCTCATTGTACTAAATGATGATGTTCTTAGTCCCACGTTTATGAAAAAAAATCTTATAAATAATAAAAATGTTGGAGCTGTGTTTCATCTAAGGAAATAATAATTTATAGTATGAAAACGGTGTAAGTATTAAATAAATCCCTGTGATAAAAAAGAATTGAAATAACATTAGAACATGATTCCTACAATATAAGCCTAATATAAGATAAAAATGTTTTTCTTTAATGAGAAAGAAAAATTAATGTTATATCTAATTAAAAAAAAAACTTAAGATACTATAAATTTACTTTAGGACAACAAAATGCATAGATCGTAACTACTCTGATTCAGAAGAATCACTGCTGACAGAATCTTCCAAATTTATAGTATCTAAATCACAGGTAGATGAAGTATCCTCAGATATAAGATATTTTTGTACATCATTTTCTAATATGTTACTTTTTCTCGTTGTTACTGTTCTTTTTGTTGGTATGAGGGGTTCGGATGTTAATAGTTACCTCTTTAATAGACCATATCCATATATTATTTTTTCCTTTTCTTGGGTGTGAGGTTTTATAATAAATTGAAAGGATGGAAACTTTTTTTATGCGACGCTTCGCTCCAACATAGTGGACTTTTTCAGGCACAAGTGGTGTCTCATTTGACTGGAAAGTTCATCAATATCTAATAAAGAACACATTTTTGAAATACAAATAATTTTGAGTTCTTGTCCTTATGATCAAGCCAAGTATTAACCAGATCGGCATTGCTTATCAATTTTACTCCATCTGAAAAGTATTATAAAATAAAGTTCGTCGCAAGCAGACGCAGGTGAACTATACAAAAATTAAAAGTGTATGAATATGACAACAAAAATATTCAATAAATACGATATGTTTTGATATGTTTTTTTTAAATACCTTTTTGAAGTTTGAAAACGTAAAATTTTTATACCCATTTAAGAATCATCTTAAAAAATAAAGAAAAACTAAACAATCACGAACTTGTTTAGAAATAAATTTAAAGTACATACCTTGTTTAACAATATCCATAGTGGCTTTCAATTAAGTACGTACCGTTTAACTCCATATATACAGAACTACTATGAATGTTATTCTTTTCACTGATAAGACAATGATCGCAAAATTTATAATTTTGCGATTAATTAATAATAATAATTTATTTTTAGTGAAAATATTTGCTAACAAAAAACGCTGTTTATGAAAAATAATATACAGGATGGTTGAACATTGCTATAAGTATAAAATTACATATTCAGGTATTAGTAAATTTTAACTTTTTTTTCGATTTTTGTCCATGGGACGAAGCACTGTGGCGTCGTTTGCGTTATCCATAGTATTTTAATGGCCCGCTTTATAAAATTGTGGTATTGCTGTCAAGAAAAAAGTTTTTTTTTGCATTTATACATATTTATTCTAATAAATTGAACAGTTTCTGGCGAAAAATAAAATATATGCATCTTCTTCATTATTATTTCTCAAATCAATGGACCCATATGATGGCCTCCCTTATTCTCAGATTTGCCCGTTCTCGATTTCTGATTTTGGTGCTTTTTGAAATATGAAATATATCGTGGCAACTAACACAATGTCAAACACTTGGAAAATACTTTAATAATGCAAGCTTTTAGATATTTTCAAACCCATCCCGTTATAATAAATTCGGGTATAAAAAATATATTCAGAGATTCCGGGGTGACAGTTCAAAAGTATATCGATTCCAAATAAAATTTTAAAATTTGTATGACTATTTTATTAAATACCATTTTGATTTTTTGTTATTTATCACGGCCTACTAATAAGAAAATAATATATTTTAAATATTGCAGTAAATAGTGAAAATAAATATAGAGTGATATATATTTTTGAGAAGCTCATAGCAAGGCCGATCATATGCTTTATAAATATACAGGGTGTTCCATTCCAAGAAATTCCAAGAAAAAAACATAACTTTAGTTCATATCTTCAAAAATATTTTTTTCGTAGAAAAACAGACTACGTCACTGTATTCTACGTAAGAAGTTCTGCTAGAATCAGTTTTCACGTTTTCCGTATCATCCATAATAACGGAGATACGGGGGCTGTCCCAAATTGCAAAATTTTCGAAAAGACCCTGTAGCTCAGAAACGAAGAGGGTTATGAAAATTTTGTTGACAGCATCTTTTTTTGCATCAATCCAAACCAAACCAAAAAAGTGGGACAGGTTTGTCCAAACCGCATCCTCCCATCTTTACTATTAACGAAGATACCGTAAGATTTCAACTAAAATGGGACACCCTGTACATTATACAGGGTGGTCCGAATTCTGGAAACTTCGGCAGCATATTCTGCAGATAAAAATAAGTAAAAGAGTTTGTATAAATGTATGCCCTAAAATTCTTAGTTTCGGACATACATGGTGTAGAAGTTTCATTTTTATTTCGATTTTTTCCAAATAATTTCTGAAGTAACGTCAATATTTGGATGAAAATTGGTGTCGGGGAATTTTTTGACATGGTGTTTTAACTGTTTTGAAGAGTAATAACTTTTCGTCATTACCTATATAAAACTACTGAGTGAAAAAACATATATTTTCGTGATTTTTTACGTAAAAAATGTCTCTTGGTAAAAAACGCTACGAGCAACCGTTTTCAACGTATTTAGAATGGAAATACATGTCATTATTGACAAAAAAATAAACATGAGTATAGGTAGTTATTTGAATGAAATGATAAATTTGGAAACTTTATTTTTTTAAAAAAAAATTATAATAAAACACTTTCTGTTGAACTTTTTGCACAAAAACATTTCGATTCCAAATATCTCGAGAACTATTACCCGTAGCGATTTTTACCAAGATTCATTTTTTACGTAAAAAACTTCGTAAATGTATATTTTTTTTATTCAGCAGTTTTACACAGGTACGGACGAAAAGTATTACTCTCCAAACCAGTAAAAAATATGTAGATGGCGCCCTCTACAAGTAGGAGTCATATTGACATCAAAATCAAATTTCTCATATCAAAAAACTCCCAGGCACCAATTTTCATCCAAATATTGACGTTATTTCATAAATTATTTGAAAAAAATCGAAATAAAAATGAAACTTCTACACCCTGTATTTCCGGAACTAAGCATTTTAGGACATACATTTATACGAACTTTTTTACTTATTTTTATCTGCAGAATATGCTGCCGAAGTTTCCGGAATACAATTCGGACCACCCTGTATAATTTGTCTATTCACTTCAGTAATGAAACTATAGAAAGAACAAATTATTCATTATTATTATTATAAAATATAAAAAAAAAAACATATACAGTGTTTCTTAATGACATGCTAATATTTAACAGTTATTTTTGGACTTATTCTAAGAAAAAGACTTTATATGAATGTATGTCCTAAACATCTTAACTTTGTAGATACAGGGTCGTAAAATTTTCTAACAATAAAACTTTTTTTTATAATAACTCTGATGTTATTAGAGATACCCTTATGAATCTTGATACACGTCTTCTATGCATCAAATTCCTTTTTAGATGTACAATAAATTTTATTTATTTCAACCAATGGTGTAAACCATCAGTGGCGAAAAACTTACTTAATTTATAGAGAAACTTTATGGCAAAACTACACTTTGAATCTTTGACCTCTTTCTGTTGAATGATTTATTATTATGTATTATCTTAATCAGATCGGGCGCAAGTCAACACGAAAAAGAGATTGACCACAAGAACTCTATTCCTATCACCGTTCGTCAACTGGAGGCCGTAATTCGGATGTCTGAAGCTCTTGCCAAAATGCAGTTACAACCGTTCGCGACTGGCAGTCATGTAGACGAGGCTTTGAGGTTGTTTCAAGTGTCTACTTTGGATGCCGCGATGAGCGGATCCCTTGCAGGTTAGTGTCAAAATGTTTACTCTACGAAATTTTAACGAAATACAGTACATTTAATTTGCAGAAGATGCGTTTCCAGTTGTCGGCTTTTAATGGAAACGCTTCAATCGGAATAGGTTGATAGGCTTTAAATGCTGATCGGCAAAGCCGAATGATTGAGGCGCGTTTTCATTTGCTGGCTTTTGCGATCGGTACAGGCCGATCGGTTTTAAATGACGATCGACGAAGCCCAACAGGATGCACCAAATGTCAATGCATCAAAGGGAAACAGAATATAATAAGATACATTAGTGAATTCATTAGTGCATTTCCTCAATTATATATCTTTTTTGCTAATTTGTCCTCCAATTAATTTTAACAGGTTTTCAAATTCACTTGGAGTTTTTCTAAAAAAATCTTGAAACTACCATTATATCTGTGCCAAAAATTAAGCGTATGGTGCGTCGTTTGCGTAGCACTATATCTTTTCCCGCTAAGCAAACTTGGTCTAAACCTAAAACGTGGCTTTCTACGATTTTTACGCGATTGTTTCGTTTCAATGATAACAAAGGCGGCAGCAGCAACACTTTTGTCGTCCTCTTGTTACTGTGTGTGAATAAACTAAAATCCTTTCAAATTGAAGTATTTCAGCTTTTCGGCATCAGGAAGAACGCCAGAAAGGCGATTGGCATTTGAGAAATCGGCCTGGCCGATCGGCAAAAGCCGACAAATTGAAAAGTGCCTTTTAATTACATGACAATTTGTTTTTGTAAGGTTGCATGCATCCCGAAAGTATTGAACCACAAGCCTCCACTGTGTAGAAGTAGAATGTAGAATGTTTGGGAGGGGGGTTAATCACCGCGACCTAATGACGAGTTATAACGAATTATAATTCATCATATAGGCTCAGGGCTTTGACAAAAGTCAGTATCTGAGACAGCTTTACAGAGATTGGTTGTCCATCTCCGATATCAGTCGTACCAAATTTATGGCACAAATGGTTGTCGTCTCGGTGCACTTGGTGTGAGGTTTTCAGGTGCTTCCCCATTTTCTCTACAGAATCTGCATTCGCCATTGTTTCTTACCTTCAGTCTACTGAGCAGTTCGTTGAAGAGATAGTTTCCTGTTAAAAACCCAGTGAAAATCCGAAGATTGTTCTTTCTTAAATATTTTTTTTTTCGGTCATAAGTTCTCAGAAATTTCTTCGAGTGTCTTAGACCGTTGGACGACTCCCATTCCAGGTTACGAATGGAGTCTTCCAGGTTCTTGAGCTATGCTTTAAATTGGTTTCCACTTAGAAAGCAGAACGGTTCTGGTCCAGTTTGTGGAGCGTTCGCTCCTTTTCTAGCTAGATCATTTGCTTTTTCATTATCTTCTTTTCCTTGGTAAGCCGGCACCCAAAGTAGCAGGACGTTGTTTGACCAACTTCGAATTGATCGTTACTGAGTTGATTGCTTTTAGTGCTGCTTGACTATCGGATAAGATGGCTATTTCTTGTTTCCGATAGTTTCTATCTATGATAAATTGTATTCATCTTTCGATAGCGTAGATTTCTGTTTGAAGAATGCTGGTTTGGTTTTGGAAGCATTAGAAAAAAACGTTATACATATATTATTATTTTTATTAGTTGTTTCTTGGGTGTTGTGGCTATGGTTCAATTAAAATTGTCCATTTTTAATTGAACCATAGCCACAACACCCAAGAAACATCAAATAAAAATTATTATATAAAGGCTAAAGAATAATCACTATCAAGTTATATATTCTGGTACCGTCTTTTACTAAAACCACCAGTCTAGGAGAAACGGAGATTTCATTTGCCAAAGAAACAAAGTATCTTGGGATATTTTTTGATCAAAGGCTTAATGGAATACTCACATAGCGAAAGCAACACAGAGGGCTACCATCTCTTTAGGTAGGTGCAGAAGGATGTGTGGAAAAAACTGGGGACTTAACCCTAAAATGACTCTATGGCTATACACAAGGGTAGTAAGACCCATGATAACCTACGGGTCGGTGGCGTGGTGGACAAAGACATCGCAAGTGAGTGCGGTAAGGCTGTTAAGTTCCACACAGAGGCTTGCGTGCCTGTGTGTAACTGGGGCCATAAAAACCACTCCTACAAATGCGATGGAAGTCTTGTTGAACTTACCACCACTACATATTTTCATACAAGGCGAAGCCAGATCTGTCATGCACAGGTTAATTCACGGTCAGCAGCACATAAGCCAAACGCATAGTGCTGCAAACCAGAAGCTAATCGAAGAGCTAAAAGCAGACAAAGTATTGGGATTACCAATTGATGCAACAGCTACTAGGTATAGCTTCAACAACAAATTTAATATAACCATACCAGGAAGGGAAGACTGGAGTAAAGGTGTACCCATTCAAGCTGAGGCAACCTGGTATACAGACGGCTCAAAAACGTCAGAAGGCGTAGGAGCTGGAATAGTAGGGCCGAAACAAGGGAGATCCTTCTACGTAAGCCTATCCAAGGATGTCACAATTTTCCAGGCAGAAATAACGGGAATCCACTATTGTGTAGAAGATATAATAAGGCAACAAAGAACAAATCGTTCTGTGGCCATCTTCACGGACAGCCAAGCGGCGCTAAAGGCACTCAGCTCCGCGGAGGTTAATTCTAGACTAGTGTGGGACTGTGTGCGTGCTCTGAATACTTTGGGCGGACGTAGCACTGTTACGTTGGCCTGGGTGTCAGGGCACGAGGGTCACAAGGGTAACGAAAAGGCAGATGAAAGGGCCAAGTAAGGCTCATCAATGCCATTCATAGGCCCAGAACCCTTCTGCGGCGTTGCAAAGGCGGTCACGAGAATGGCCACGGAACGATGGGTGGCCAACAAATCTCTAGAATGGTGGAGAAACTCACCAGGGCAGAGACAGGCGAAAAGGTTCATTGTTGAACATTCGCCAAAATTCACGGTAGACTTGATAAGCAAGGACAGAAAGACAGTCAAAGCTGTAGTAGGTCTACTAACAGGGCATTGTAAGCTAAATAGGCATCTAAAGCTGATGGGATTGACAGACGAAGCTATGTGTAGGTTCTGCCAATCTGAAGAAGAAACGTCAGAACACATTTTATGTCGGTGTGACAGCCTGGCAAATGTGCGGTTCCCGGTAATAGGCAATGCTAGGCCATTGCCAAGGAGCTACACGGAGGGTTCAGTCTCCAAGTTGCTAAACTTTGTGAAAAGGATAGGACTGGAGAATGTAATCTAAGGATCAGAAGAGGACCACAATAGATCTGAGAAGGTCGCAGTGGATCAGGCCGAAAGCCACCTCTAAGAATCTAATCTAACCGTCTTTTACCTTCTGAGCAAACATTTCTCTCTTTCAGTCCTTTTTATTGCTCAATACTACAGTAAGGTGTTCCTCAAAGTTGTACATTTTTTGTATGTCATCCAGTAGGAGCAGAATTTTCCTTTTGAGGGTGTTACAAGCCCCTGACCTGACAATTCTGCCAGTACTGTTTCCGTCAATGACCACTCTAATCAATGTAGCACTGGCATATCTACCGACGACAATGCGCAGTGGTGTTAGGTCTAGAATAACCTCCATTGCTGCTGTTGGGCATGTGTGATGAAGATGCATGCTAGTCTCTGTACTTGCACAGGTTTTGCCTTGCATGCTGTACTTTGCTCTAGTTTTGTGTACCAAGCTCCATACTTAATCATGGGTTATTATTATTACTATCATGGTATACACCCAGCACAAAATGTTAGGGCCCCACGTATTTCCCACCAGTCATCAGCATATCATGAGAGCAGCCTTTGTGGCTTTGCTGGTAATGTTCTTAATATACCTGTTCCATAGAAGTTTACTGTCCAGAGATATTCCCAGATATTTGACTTCTTGTGATGGCAGTATTTCCTTTCCATCTAGATGGATTCTTTTCAAGTTTTTCACACTTCGCTTTCTCGTAAAGGGCACTACCGCGGTTTTGCCTGAGTTGACGCTTAACGCCCAGCTACCGTATGATCGAGAAAAACGGCGTCAGCGATGGCTATGGAATGAAGATCGCTGTCATTTTATATGTAAATTTATATGGGAAATGTCATTGATGTTCATTTCCCAGCCAACTGGACGCCGTTTTTTTTCGATCATACGGTATAATATATTATGTATTTATATTTAGCTTAGATATATTATCTTCATTTCAGTAGTATACATGAAAGTTTTTAAAATAATTTATTTTTTTACACATATTTTCCTACACACGTAAAAAAAACATACCGGCAACACTGTATGCCGCTTTTTATTTGGTCTCTCTGTCTGTCAACCGGTCATTTATATTTATCTCAGTCGCATGCATTAAAATACAGTCCACGTAGATAAAGTCATGTCCAGGCTGGTACGTTGAATATCATTGACAATTCCTTGACGCCGTTTTTTTCATATCAATCAATTTTTTATCATACATTATTTATTTGTATATCACATAATCGAGTATGTATAGACAAATTACAGATTTTTTTCTTATATTTATCTTTGTATTTAATAAAAGAACTGTTTCATTTATTTCATTTCAGGCGCTGAAGGTTTCACTACCGAAGGTGAACAGGAAATGCTGTCTCGCGTAGAGAAACAGTTAAAAAGACGTTTTGCTATCGGTACGCAAGTATCCCAGCAAAACATCGTCCAAGACTTTGTTCAGCAGGGCTATCAAGAAAGGGCTATTTTGAAAGTCCTTCAAGCGATGATCCGTAGGGGGCAGCTGCAGCATAGGATGCAGAGGCGCATGCTGTACCGTATCAGTTAAGCTCTATTATCATTTTACTCATTTCTTATTTCTTATTCTGTGTTGGTATTTTTAAAATAATTTAGGATTAAAATCTTCTATTACTAGAGCTTTTCTTGTGTTAACATTGGTGATGGGAAAAACCGATTAATTTCAGTAATCGAGTGCTCGAGATTCAAGCGACTCCAATAACCGAAGCGATTGCTCGAGCGAAATTTCGCTCGTATTTAAAAATATCGTCCCATTGCTGCCAAAAGTCACTAACTTATTTTTTATTACTTCCGAGAAAAATGCGTCTAAAGATGAATTGCATTGCATGATGTTATAGTTAGTAACTATTCGGTATTAAAGTAAAAAATCGGTAAAAAAACTTTTAAGTTAAACGGTTTTATCTTATGTGCACTGAAAACTAGAAAATAATAATAACAATTAGGTATTTTGAACTTCTAGTTCAGAAATATTTTAGTACTAGGCAGAATAGCTTTTAGGCATATTAGACTAAAATAAAAACGTGGGGCCCATAAACTATTGCTGTAATACTTTCTTCTATACTAAGTGTGGATTGCATCGACTATAATCGTAACTGGAGATTTTGATAATCAATAACCAGCCGTGGCGGCTTCACCAGCGAACGCAGAGCTCATGATCTACCAAAGTATAAAGATATGCTTTGCCATAGGTAGGATTTCAGAGGTGCCCCACGTTTTTATTTTAGTCTAATATGCCTAAAAGCTATTCTGCCTAGTACTAAAATATTTCTGAACTAGAAGTTCAAAATACCTAATTGTTAATATTATTTTCTAGTTTCCAGTGCACATAAGATACAACCGTTTAACTTAGTTTTTTTACCAATTTTTTATTTTGTTTATTTTTTTATTTATTGTTTCCATGTTGTTCCCACGAGTAATGGACATTTTAACGGTCGACCCCCCCCAAAGAGGTCCGGTAGAGGGGCAAGGCTATAATATACAACAAGAGGCGCCCAATCTTGAGGGGAAAACGCTTGCGACATTACATTTTTAGCCACCCTAATGCCATACAGTCCTCAGCACGTTTTAACCTATTACCTTAACTTGGGTGGTAAAACTGTCCTTCTAACGTCACACAATCTTGGACACAACTGTTCTGGACACGACTACTCATGCCCTCACCTAATACGCCATTTTGTAACGACGTCCATCTTGGATTTTAAATTTTGTCATAATCACAGTATTCTACTAGTGTAGCCCTTTCATTTGATACCCATATTGAGGGGGTTGTGGAAAAATATGAAATCTGCCATTTTGTACCGGCGGCCATCTTAGATTTACAATATTATTGATATTACTATATTGTATTGTCATCGGAACTAAAGGTGTGTACCAAATTTCAGATCAATCTGACAACAGGAAGGTACTTAAATTTCGATTTCTAATTTTGCCCCAAATAAACAAACAAATAAATAAATACCGTACGTGTCGAGCTAAATAAAACCGTTTAATAATAAAACATAAATAGCCAGAAATCGTAGTTAATGACTTTTGTAATCGATTCTCCGCTTCAAAACATAGTTAGTGATTGAATTTGGTTGTTCGGAAAAATGTTAGTGACTTTTGGCAGCAATAGGACGATACGGTTTTTCGCCTGTTGCGAGCAGTAAGTTGCGTGCGCAGAGCACATATTTTGTTGGTGACGAATAGCAAGTGGCAAGTTGCAAACGACGAGCGACGAGTAATTCGCTTGATTTGTAGAATGTTTAGGAGGGGAGTTAATCACCGCGACCTTACAGATCTATTGTGTTCCCCTGTCTTGAGTTATAACGAGTTATAACTCATCATACGGTCTCAGGGTTTTAACAAAAGCCAGTATCTGAGACGGCTCCGTCCTCGACATCAGCCGTACCAAAGTTTATGGCATGAAGGTGTTCTGATGTTTCCCCATTTTCCTCATAGAATCTGCATTCGCCAATTCGCTTGATTTAGTTTCGTTTAAAGCATTGTCGATGTAGGTCGTAAAATTTTGTCACTAAGATACGCAACGGATAACGTCGAATAAATTTGCTACCTGCAATGTATCTCGAAAATTCGCTCGGCTTTGTATCGAGTACCTATGTCACATTAAAATCGGATTTCAATTTATTTCATTCTAGGATCGCTTGCGTTCGTCGCTCGGAACTCGTCACTTGCATCGCTCGCTCATAATCGAGCGATGTCGGTTATCTCAATAATCGATTACCCTAGCAAATTTTCGCTCGAGTTATCTCATCATTAGTTAGCATACATACATATATTTTTTTTTAAATTATTTTTTTTTACTTTTACAGTTCATTTATTTACTACTTATTTTTTCAGCGTGTTTTTTTTATATGTGATCATCTTTTATACAGTAATTCATTTTCAACTGTAGGTTATTAAGTTTTATTATCAATTTCTTAAGTGTACCAACAAACAGTATAGACATTAAATGTTTTTTATTTATTTTTTGTTTTTTTTTTGGATACATAGCAGCACATTATAAAGCTATGTTTGCTCATTAATATACAGATCAATCCACAATGATTGAAATAGATGGCAAAACTGTGTTTGAGGATTTTAGAATTAGTGATTGGTATAAACAACAATTCTAACAAACTATTTTTTGAATAACACCAGTTTGGGAATTCTTAAAATGCCATTTCTTGTCAAAGTTTATTACCAGTACCACAGAATATCTAGCTACGCAACAGAAGCCTCGTTACACGTATAAAATCGTAGGTATCAAAAGGAGACAGACTTTTAAAGCCTGTCTCCAAATCAGATATTTTGATGCGGTATTTTCGCTACTACAGAATAGAGGGCGATAAATTTAAAAGAAAACAGTTTTCTACAAACGAAATTTAAAAGAATTTTATGCAGTGTTGCCATTGTGTAATTCATATTGTAATACTTCCTTATAAAGCCTACCTTCAAATTTGCTACATCATTTAAACATATTAAAATAGATCAAAGCTCTTTTTTCAAACGTTTAGGTATTTAACTTGCCATGTTAGTTGGAGTTAAATCTTACGAGCTGAATTACAATCACATTGTGACGTTTGATTGTAATTGAATTTCCTGGCGTTCGATTGGACTTATTTTTGGTATAGTAAGTATCTTCGGTGATATTGTAATATGATGGTACTATGATGCATATAAAATGGTACCTTAATATAGTACCATATTACGATACCACTTCCTGACGTTCGATTGGGCTCATATTTGATTATACTTGCGTATTTTTGATGACATTGCAATATTATGGTACCATGAAGTACATCAAGAGGTACCATAATGTAGTACCATATTACGATACCATTTCCTGGCGTTCGATTGGTCTTAAATTTTGTATACTACGTGTGTTCGGTGAATAATGCGTTCGGTTGTAATATTATGGTACTTTGATGCATATAAAGTGGTACCTTCTATAGTACCATATTATGATACCACTTCCTAACGTTCGATTGGGTTCATATTTGATTATACTTGCGTATTTTTTCTGACATTGCAACATTATGGTACCATGAAGCATATCAAGGCGTACCATAATGTAGTACCATATTACAATACCATTTCCTGGCGTTCGATTGGGCTTAAACTTTGTATGCTACGTATATTCGGTGACACTGTAATATGATGGTACTATAATGCATATAAAATAGTACCTTCTATAGTACCATATTATGATACCACTTCCTGACGTTCGATTGGGCTCATATTTGATTATACTTGCGTATTTTTGATGACATTTCAATATTATGGTACCATAAAGCATATCAAGGGGTACCATAATGTAGTACCATATTACGATACCATTTCCTGTCGTTCGATTGGGCTTAAACTTGGTATACTACGTATCTTCGATAACATTGTAATATGACGGTACTATGATGCATATAAAGTGGTACCTACCTATAGTACCATATTACGATACCATTTCCTGGCGTTCGATTGTGCTTAAATTTGGTATACTACGGATCTTCGGTGACATTGCAATATTATGAAGCATATCGAGTGGTACCATAATATAGTACAATATTATATCATTTCCTGTAGTTCGACTGGGCCAAAATTTGGTATACTTGCGTTTCTTTATAAAGATTTGTTTAATTAATAATTTTAATTTATTTTACGAATTTTAATTTATTGTACGATGTCGTGACAGCAACTTTTATACCGAACTAATATATTATTAATTGTACCTGTGTCACTTTTTAAAGTCTACCTAGGTCTATATAAATAACGTGGCAAAAAGAAGAAATTTGTTATTATAGTATTTTTTTAGTCAATTAACATTTTTTATACTGCATTTTAATAAATTATTTCCATTAATATTTAACGTATATTTCATTACTAACGTTTCAGCATTATTAAAATTACTATCAATCGCCCTGTATATTATTAATTTTAAAGGTAATTAAAGTTATTTTCTTAGTTAACATAATAAAGCAGTGTATTACATATATTAAAAATGTATTTTGTGAGCATGTTTTCTAATAATATACTTAAACTTAAAACTATTTTAAAAGCCAAACGAATAATTAATGTAAGTGTATCTGACAAGAAACGAAGAATAGAAAGAAATTATTATACACCAGAAAAAGAATGGGATGCCAATTAAACTCTTTTTGAATCTGGCAACTGTGCCGATTTCTAGCCGAGCTTCAAGGCCGTCGACGTGCCGTCGATCTAAAACCGAAAAATGAAAATTTCCAATTATATTCTGATTATGATATTGTCGCGCCATCTAGTATTTTATTTGTGCAATTTTAGCTCTTTCATTTCGAGTATTTTTCTGTTGCGTAGCTAGATATTCTGTGCCAGTACGTAACCTAATCTATTTTTTTATTAACTTTAAGAGGCTTTTTCAAAAATTAAATAACAAAACCTTCAGATTAAATTCATTTATTTTTCATCTCGTTTTGTTTAGTTTTATCTCTCACTCTTATGGAAAACTGATTTAATACTTTTAAAAGTCATATACAAATGAACAAAATCGGATTAGTCAACTATATTTCAATCATTTTGGATCGTTTTGTATAAGGTGTGTGTTGAATAAGTACAAATATTTCTGCTGGTAGTATATTTCGGAAGTACGCCAAAGAAGTATTTTAAAAAAGTTGAAGATTTTGTACTAAACATAGTTAAATAGAGATTTTTGAGTTTCAGAAATATTAATAAATAAATAAAAATTTTCGGCCTTTTTAAAAAATTATTAAAAATAGAAGAAATCTCGTCTTGAAATCAAAACTGCACTAAGTATTTGCTAAAGTTGGTCTGTACTTATTTTGCTATAGATATCGTAATCTTAAACCATACAGGGTGTTGTAAATTCTATGCCAAACTTTCTAAAATATAAAATAGTTTTTCTTCATTTTTTTTATAGATGGAACCGCTAAAAATTAAATGCTTTAAATACAAAAAAGCTTATTTTTAATTCTCCATCTAACAAAGAAATAATAGACTCACTGTAATCCCCGTATAAACTGCGGGCCCGTATGAAGTGCTAGGAATATTATAGTGATGTTGATTTTCGTTATTTTTGGTTACTCGTTACTAATCGTTAGTCGACTACAAACAAACAAACAAACAACGCTTTATTGTGCAAAAAGCCAAAACAGCTTCATCGACAAAGCACTCACAAACAACAAAATCACAAAAAAAATACAAACAACAAAAAATACACAATACAAATAATACAATTCAAAAAAATTTAAGTCTTTAAAATTACAAAAAGAATATACATGGAGAATTTTAGAACAGTACGCAGTAAATAGATATAATTTTAAAATTATAGAATATTAAATACTTGACCTTTGACCAGTGTGTGAGATGATCAAAATTTTAAAATTCAAAATTGTTCATAATCAAACATCAACAAAAAAGTCGTTTACCGCATATAGGGCTCTCTCCAGTAGGTATGATTTTAGTGAACCTTGCGAAATGCGGGAAAGAAGAAAGCGATTTGATATTCAAAGGCAGATGATTGTACATTTTTTTGGCATTGTACAGTATTGAACCCTTAACTAGTTCTGAGCTCGGGGTTGGCAGATAAAGATCGTGCTCTGCATTCCTAAGTGGATAGTTATGAGATGGCCTTTCGGGAATAGCAGATATGTGCTTGCGGATTAAGCAAACGGATTCAAAAATGAATAAAGAAGGAAGAGTCAGTATTTTCAAATTTTTAAAGAAATTCTGGCAGTGAGTTCTACTGTTCAGTCCCAATAAATATCGAACTGCTCTCTTTTGAAGTATGAAAACACGATCAAATTTTGTTGCGCAGCAAGTACCCCAGAATGGAAGGGCATAACGAAGATGTGACTCAAAAAGGGCATAATAGGCTATTCTAGAGGTTGAGAAGTTAAGTTCCTTAGAAACTGATCTTAGCGCAAAACAGGCAGCGCTTAGTTTCTTTGATAGAGCTTCAATGTGAGAGTCCCATTTTAACGAGTTGTCTACAAGAAGTCCTAAGAATTTCACAGAGTCCACGACGTCAATAGTAGTGTTATTAAGTACAAAAGGTTGTATAGTACTTTTATATGACAAAACTTTAGTTTTTTGATAGGTTGAGGCATAGGAGATTAGAATCGCACCAAGACTTAATGGTGCGTAAGTCGTGGATATAGTATCATATAGCGCCGCAACATCTGGGCCGCTCCAAGTGAAACTAGTATCGTCCGCAAAGAGGCAGATTTTACCGCTAATGTCCAGATTTGCAATGTCGTTGATAAACACCAGAAACAAAATAGGGCCAAGTACTGAACCCTGAGGGACACCACATTCTATAGGCTTACAAGAAGACATAGACGTATCAATCCTCACAAGCTGCCTTCTGTTGCCAAGATATGACTTAAGCCATTCGAGCGGCACTCCCCTGAGACTCCCCACTACTAAGTAATCATTTCAAATATTCGTTACTTTGATTACTATGATTACTTTTTACTGATTTTGGTACTGCTGTCAACCTTTGTATCTAATTTTACCTGCTTAAAGGATATATTTTCAAAACTAGATTCTTAGTACCCACGTTTTTCATTTAATAGGCCTCTGTGTGTAAATTTAATACTTCTAGAACCATTAGAAATTTTTGTACAAATATTCAAAAGATTACTTGTACCAAATTTCACCCCTAATTTCACCTTAGGGGATGCATTTTAAAAATGTTTCTGAGTACTTACTTTCATCACTTAAGGGCACAATATTCTGTGCAAATTGTCATACTTTAAAAAAATATTTTTCCTGAACATTCGCCTCTCATCTCACACTCTTAAAAGGCGAATTTCTAAAAATCGCTTCTTAGTGCTCAATTGCGTTACCTTTTAGGAACTTTTACGCAAAATTTCATACTGCTAAAACCCATTTTAACAAATTTTTGAGACAATTTTCACCCCTTATTTCTAGGATTTCTATTCTCTTAGGAGGTGATTTTCAAAAAATAATCGCTTCTAAGTACTCACTTTCGCCACTTAAAAAACTTCTATACAAAATATCATACCCCTACTACCACAGAATATCTAGCTACGCAACAGAAGCCTTTACACGTATAAAATCGTAGGTATCAAAAGGAGACAGGCTTTTAAAGCCTGTCTCCAAATCAGATATTTTGATGCGGTAGTTTCGCTACTACATAATAGAGGGCGATAAATTTAAAAGAAAACAGTTTTCTACAAACGAAATTTAAAAGAATTTTATGCAGTGTTGCCATTGTGTAATTCATATTGTAATACTTCCTTATAAAGCCTACCTTCAAATTTGCTACATCATTTAAACATATTAAAATAAATCAGAGCTCTTTTTTCAAACGTTTAGGTATTTAACTTGCCATGTTAGTTGGTGTTAAATCTTACGAGCTGAATTACAATCACTTTGTGACGTTTGATTGTAATTGAATTTCCTGGCGTTCGATTAGACTTATACTTGGTATAGTAAGTATCTTCGGTGACATTGTAATATGATGGTACTATGATGCATATAAAGTGGTACCTTAATATAGTACCATATTACGATACCACTTCCTGACGTTCGATTGGGCTCATATTTGATTATACTTGCGTATTTTTGATGACACAAATTGCAATATTATGGTACCATGAAGTACATCAAGAGGTACCATAAGGTAGTACCATATTATACGATACCATTTCCTAGCGTTCGATTGGTCTTAAACTTTGTATTCTACGTGTGTTTGGCGACATTGTAATATGATGGTACTACGATGCATAGAAAGAGGTACCTTAATATAGTACCATATTACGATACCATTTCCTGCCGTTCGATTGTGCTTAAATTTGGTATACTACGGATCTTCGGTGACATTGCAATATTATGAAGTATATCGGGTGGTACCATAATATAGTACAATATTATGATATCATTTCCTCGTTGAGTTTGATTGGGCCAAAATTTGGTATACTTGCGTTTCTTTATAAAGATTTGTTTAATTAATAATTTTAATTTATTTTACGAATTTTAATTTATTGTACGATGTCGTGACAGCAACTTTTATACCGAACTAATATATTATTAATTGTACCTGTGTCACTTTTTAAAGTCTACCTAGGTCTATATAAATAACGTGGCAAAAAGAAGAAATTTGTTATTATAGTATTTTTTTAGTCAATTAACATTTTTTATACTGCATTTTAATAAATTATTTCCATTAATATTTAACGTATATTTCATTACTAACGTTTCAGCATTATTAAAATTACTATCAATCGCCCTGTATATTATTAATTTTAAAGGTAATTAAAGTTATTTTCTTAGTTAACATAATAAAGCAGTGTATTACATATATTAAAAATGTATTTTGTGAGCATGTTTTCTAATAATATACTTAAACTTAAAGCCGTGACAGCAACTTTTATGCCGAACTAATATATTATTAATTGTATCTGTGTCACTTTTTAAAAACTACCTAGGTCTAGGTATATAAATAACATGGCAAACAGAAGAAATTTGTTATTATAGTATTTTTTTAGCCAATTAACATTTTTTACACTGCATTTTAATAAATTATTTCCGTTGTTATTAAACGTACCTATATTATTATTTCATTACTAACGTTTCAGCATTAATAAATATCACTATCAATCGCCCTGTATAATATTAATTTTAAAGGTAATTAAAGTTATTTTCTTAGTTAACATAATAAAGTAGTGTACATAAAAATGTATTTTGTGAGCATATGTTTTCTAATAATATACTTAAACTTAAAACTATTTTAAAAAGCAAACGAATAATTAATATAAGTGTATCTGACAAGAAACGAAGAATAGAAAGAAATTATACACCAGAAAAAGAATGGGATGCCTATTAAAGTCTTTTTGAATCTGGTAACTGTGCATATTTAGCCGAACTTCAAGGCCGTCGCCGTGCCGTCGATCCCAAACCGAAAATTGAAAATTTCCCATTATATTCTGATTATGATATTGTTGCGCCATCTAGTATTTTATTTGTGCAATTTTAGCTCTTTCATTTCGAGTATTTTTCTGTTGCGTAGCTAGATATTCTGTGCTACTACTAATTTAAAAAAATATTACAAAATTTCACCACAAGTTTTACCCCCTTATGGTTTGCTTATGGTGTGAATTTCCAGAAATCGTTCCTTAGTGCTCAATTGTGCCACCCAAGAAACCTCTGTACTTATACGTATACCGAATATGCATAGTATTGTATCGTAAAATGTAATCAAATGTGAGTTCTGAGTTCTATGAAAATATAATAGTTGTATAGTATCTAGGGTATTTGCAAAAATAAACATTTTTAAAATGCCAATACTTACTATACATATTACGTATAAGTACGACCCATGATAAATGCTAAATACTATAAGTAGTTAATAGTAATCAAGGTAATCAAAGTAACTGTATGGTTTTAAATTCGATATTCGTATCGAGTATAACGAGTAGTTAATTTTTCAACATCTCTAACTAGGAACGACTTTGAATCGTGACACCACTATTTGCGACAAAAAAGTGTATTCGCCTATTCATAAAAATATACGTAAAAATTAGATTTTGATTAATTACGCGATGAGCGTAATAATCCTGCAACTTGATCTTAGACTATTATTATTTAGTTATCGAAAAAGATACATGAGAAGATCTGTATATTGGTAATTGAATAATAGGATGTCATAAAACCATTAGAAAAAATGAAAATTTGTAGGACTACTGGAAAAGAAAAATTCGAAATAAAAAGAATACTTTATTTACTGATAATCAAACTGTAGTTTATCAATAACAGTTTTGTTCATGTTTAACAATAAAAATACTTTTTGATACTGAATTTAGAACAGTACATCACAAGAATTATTCTTTTCTCTCCTTTTTCCGGAAGGGATAGTTCGGATGATTTTCTACGCCCTTGAAAAAGTAAAAATCAAATATTCGTCCGTCCTCTCCCTTGTCCAAGCTGTCGAGTTTTTCGATATCCTCTTTGGCCAACTCGAAATCGAAGATATCGATATTGGCCTTAATCCTGTCGGGATTGCCGCTTTTTGGAATCACTATGATGTCGTTTTGTACCAAATGTTTCAAAAGTATTTGACCTGGAGATTTGTTATATTTCTGAGCGATTTCTTTCACTATCGGATGTCCTAATATGTCGGGAAAGTCATCTAACCTGTAACATTAAGAACAATAATTAGATATATGGCATTCTAGTAATTACAGACATTTTTTTAAAATATTTTGAACAGACTTGTTACAAGATTAATATTCAGTCAAGTCAAAATATACTCTATTAATATACACTCAGGTGCAAAAAAACGCAACAGAGAAATTTTTGGTCAAATTTAAAGTGTTATATTTTTGTTAATTTTAGCCATATTTTCATAAATTTTTTATTAAGCTGTATACAGGGTGGTCCGAACTGTATTCCGGAAACTTCGGTAGCATATTCTGCAGATAAAAATAAGTAAAAAACTTCCTATAAATGTATGTTCTAAAATGCTTAATTTCGGAGATACAGGCACATACAGGGTCTAGAAATTTCATTTTTATTTCTATTTTTTCCAAATAATTTCTGAAGTAACGCCAATATTTGGATGAAAATTGGTATCTGGGACTTTTTTGACATGAGAAATTTGATTTTAATGTCAATATGGCTGCTACATGTAGGGGGGGGGGGGCACATACATGTGTTTTAACTGTTTTGAAGAGTCCGTACCATGTTTACAACTACTGAGTGAGAAAATGAACATTTACGTGATTTTTTACGTAAAAAATGTCCCTTGGTAAAAATCGCTACGAGCAACTGTTCTCAAGATATTTAGAATACAATACATGTCATTATTGACAAAAAACAAACATATGTTGAGTAGATAGTTATTTGACTGAAATGATAAATTTGGGAACTTTTTATTTTTTTTTAATTAATCATAAATTTTTCTTCGAAAAAATGATAAAACAGTTTCTGTTGAACATTTGTCACAAAAAACATTTAAAAAATGTATTATTTCAATCGAATAACTATTTTTACATGTTTAATTTATGTCAATGATGACAGGTATTGATAATTTTGATTCCAAATATCTCGAGAACCATTACTCGCAGCGATTTTTACCAAGAGATCTTTTTTACGTAAAAAACTTCGTAAATGTATATTTTTTTACTCATTAGTTTTATACAGGTACGGACGAAAAATTATTATTCTTCAACAGGGGCGCAACTAGACATATACTTTTAGGGGTGCTCAAGTCTTTTGGGGGGGCTTAGGCCACTATAAGCCCTATAAGCTAATATTGATGTGATGTTAAAACCAATTTCAAACGACACGCACTCGAAATCTGGGGGAGCTAAGCCCCCCCCCCCTGCCCCGCCCCTAGTTGCGCCTCTGCTCTTCAAACCAGTTAAAAAATATGTAGGTGGCGCCCTCTACAAGTAAGAGTCGTATTAATACCAAAATCAAATTTTTCATGTTAAAAAACGTCCAGACACCAATTTTTATCCAAATATTGACGTTATTTCAGAAATTATTTGGAAAAAATCGAAATAAAAATGAAACTTCTACACCCTGTATCTCCGAAACTAAGCATTTTAGGACATACATTTATACGAACTTTTTGACTTATTTTTATCTGCAGAACATGCTGCCGAAGTTTCCGAAATTTAATTCGGACCACCCTGTATAATTATATCAACTTTAATTCGTAAACTCAGCTTTTTATAAACTTTAGTATTTGGCATATTATACAGGGTTAATCGATGGGTTGTTTTTTACCCTAATTTTAAAACACCCTGTGCAATAATTTCGTCTGTAAATTTTCATAAAATATAATTTTACAGTCAGAACCATGACTCCTTAGCATTTTATTCTTTGACTCATGTCAATACATGTTGTGGTTAATTTTTAAGAGCGAAATGAACTGATAAAGATCAATTTGCAATTTTTTCAATTATCATTACTTTTTGATGTCGAGCCGGTTTTGGTGACTATTGTCGTAACGTCATATTACTCTGCATTGGATACTCTATACTAAATTAAAAAAAAACTTTAAGACTATCGATACGGTCCAGGTTTAAATAAACATTAATAACGATAACAGAACTAATGATATTAAAGAAAACATCAATACTCAAGTATACAAACAGAAAAAAATTGTAAAAATACCCTAATTACCTGTATCCCTACTAAGTAGTCGAACCGGGTTTTAATATAGCAATTGTTGCACTTCACGTGTTATATTTTTATTAGTAGTGGGAACTATCGAATGAATACTATCGAAACATTCGATAGTTGCAATTCATTCGACTAATTCGATAGCTAGTAAGAAAACATTCGTTGAAAACTATTAGAATAAAAATTATCGAATAGATGCGTCATCTGCCTTGAAATATTGTATTCTAATAATTCGGCAGCAAAAAAACATTCATTTATAAAATTCATTCATTTATGAAATTCATTTATTCGTCAGGATCGATTATAATAAAATATTAACTGGATTTTAGTTGTCGACGCGCGACGTAGGTTTCTTTTCCCAGAAACCCAACAGCGGTTGGTGGCAATTCTATGAAAGAAGGCGACATCTTTGATTTTTTGTGGAATCAGATAAAAATAAGGACACATTATTTTTTTTATTGAGGTGCTAGTATTTACACAGAAAATATATTATGAAGGGCGCTGTTGCCATATACTGGTATTAGTTGATATTAGCAAAGAATATTATTGTTTGGCTTTAGTTAGTTAGGGATAGTATGTCTATATATTTTGCATTTTTTTTATTAATATTCTGTTGTTACACTGCAATAATACTTGTTATTTTGGATGTAGGAAAATAATTTTTAATGTTTTTAAGCAAAGACTGGTTTAATAAATAATAATAACAGTAATAATTTGTTATACCTATTAACAACAAAATTTAAAATCATTTAATATAAACATTTTTTCAGTAGTAGCAAAATATAAACAACAAATTAGATCTCAAAATTATTTATATTAGATCCTATTTAAAAATAATATAGTCTCTAAATTTTTTGTGTGTGGCAACGTTGGTTTATTAAATAATAATAATTACAAAACTAATTTGTTATATTAACAACAAATTTTAAAATCATGAAATATCAACATTTATTAATTTTCTAAGCATGCGGTGTAATGGAAGGAAAATATAAATAAAAAATTAGAAATCAAAATTATTTATATTAGGTGCTTTATATTACTTTTTGAAAATAATATATTTACTTTTACTGGCATTTACTTTAAAAAATAAATGAAATATTTCTTCGCAAAAAAAAACATGTAAGAGAATCAGCATAAACAAAATACAAACATCGTTAACTTTTTTTTTTAATTGGCACGTGTAAAACTTTCAATTTAATTTTCTCACCCCATAGTTTGAGTTCGATTAAACCCCCCCCCCCCCATTTACTTAACCACATTACTTAAATATGATTATTAAGTTCAATTAATTCATATTATTAAAACATCTAAAATACAAAGTATTTTTAAAATTAATTTTAAGTTCATCTCATCTCTCTGAAAAATTGCTACTTCTCAAAATTTCCCAATAAAAAATAGACTATACCATATAAAATGAAATAATTGAAAGATCGGGCTACGGAAAATCACACAAATTTTTGGAAAAATTTTGACCACGTGCACATGCACACAATCGTCAATTAAAAAAACTACTATTTTAGTATTTTAAATATTTTAATAAACGCAAAAATAGCACTATTTATACGGTGAAGTTATAAAAATTTGGAAGAACTAATAATGCACTGACGCACACAAAAATCAAACGAATAATAAATTTCATTTATCAAAAGCATTCGATAGTCGTGGCTCAACGATAACCATTTAGTCGCACGGCGAGGTTGTCACATATGCTTTAGTATACAAATGAACGAATGATTTTATTCGAATAAAACCATTCGATAGTTGAAATCATTCATTCAGTAACCATTCGATAGTCTAATTCATTCGATAGTTCCCATTGCTAATTTTTATATCTGTTTTGTAAATATTTTATAATTGTTTTAAATTATATTATAAATCAATTATAAAATATATTTAGCTCAAGCATAAATAGTTGTATAAGATTTGTTATATAAAAGTTCCTGAGCATATTAACGAATATATTTATAAAAATGTTTTATAAATTAGTCGCCAAAACATCTATATAATAAAATAATAAAACACATTTGTCTCTATGATAAATGTGTGTTCTTTGCGGTTATTATACACTCACCAGCAAAAAAAACCGGCCACTAAAAACTAGACCCAATTTCAAAGTTGGAATTCTCGCACACCACTCATTAGATTTTGGTAATTTTTCTGTTAAATTGTAAATTAATTCCTTCTTAACGGATGCTATGTCAGCAATTTTTATTCCAAATTTATTTTGAGCATATACAGGGCACAACAATAAGACGAAGTTTTTTGCCCAAACTTTGTAACACCCTGTAGGGTGCAGCAGCTGTAGTAGCTATTGCTAAATCAAATCACATTGTAGTGTCATCTTTTGTAAGCATTTTATTTTTTTAATCACGACATTATCTCTGTTTGTATTGGAGATACGCTGCTTTAAAACAAACGCCTCGAAAAAAGCTTTAAAATCAAATCAAACATCAGAACGTAGACGTAAACTAACTAAAACATGAAAATTAAAAAAAAGGTAAAGAAATTTTAAGGGACTAATATCTAGTATCCACTCTGGTGAAATTTCCCGTTTCCATATACCGATTGTTAGATTGAAAAATAATTTCAAAAACAAATGTTAATTGAAAAAATTACAAATTGTTGGTGGCAAGTTCATTTCGCTCTTAAAAATTAACGAAGGCATGTATTGATATGATTCAAAAAACAAAATGCTCAGGCGACATGGTTCTGACCGTAAAATTATATTTTAGGAAAATTTACACACGAAATTATTGCACAGGGTGTTTTAAAGTTATGATAAAAAACAACCCCTTGATTAACCCTGCATAATATGCCAAATACTAAAGTTTATAAAAAATTGAGTTTACGAGTTAAAGTTGATATAATTATATACAGCTTTAAAGACTGTAGTTTACTAGCGTTCAAAACCGGGGAACCCCGGTGTCGAAAGTACCGGGAGTTCCCGGTTCTTTTGAGCCATTTAGTCCAGTAAATGAAAGTTGAAACCACGGCCTAATTCGTCGACCGGGACTTTTCAGGCGGATTGTGTATCTTTTGGGAAGTAGGTTTAGGGGAAAAATTGTAACACTGTGCTCGAAAAAATGACCCCAAATGTCCGAGAATCAGTTTTTCGCAAATATCTGCCAAAATATACAATTTACAAAATTTTTCTTAGAATAAAAAATGAAGCTTAGGTAATTTCTACAAAAATGGTCCTTATCATTTTTTACGTAGAATTAGTAGTTTTTGACATATTCTCTCCAAGTCTTAACGCACCAAAGATAGGTTTCATACGCGTATCATTGATGGATAGGACAATTTGTTTAATAACTGATAAAATTTAATATCTTTTAATGATTTATTCAAAGTTCATTTAAAAGGTAGAATTAATAGCTATTACATTTTGGAACTTGTTTGAATTTTGTCATATTTTATGATAATAAAAAAACCGGGCAAACATTCCTTAACCCAAAAATTTTCAGATTTTTACAAACATTCACATTTTCACTAATAATAGCTTATTTGTCAAGATTTTTTTTAACAGTTGTTCTTAGAGTCTCTTTAAGCAACTCAGAAAGTTTGAAGTATTTGTTTAATCACATTTTAATAAAAAAACAACTATTCATGAGTGGTTTTTCCGCTGTTTTGCGATTTCTGGAAAGTGCCGTAAACAAAAGAAAATTGCATAATAACTTTATAAGTAACAAACACCAATGACGAGTTGGAAATCAACGATAAAAGTTGAAAATTACCTGCAATATCTTGCAAATCTTTCAGAGTATATTGTTCTTGTCCATTTTCTCGGATATAATGGACTACCTTTTTGGAACACCATTTGGTCTGAAATATCCAAGCCACTGGACCATCTACGCCCCTTTCAGGAGCTGTGGAACATGACTTATAAAATTGTGTATGACAATGCTTGTGATATCTAGGCAGCCGCACTGACCAGATCAATCAATGAAATTCTTGCCAAGAGCTTTTTGGCATCTTCATTTGCTATATTATCTTCTATCAGATCCTACAGTTTTGTCGCAAATTCTTGCTTTCAAATGATAGAGATGGACTTTCTTTTGGCAGGTGCCTTTTTCAGTTCTATCTGTATTGAGGCTTTTGATTCACAGAATAGGCAGTGATTGTGAAAATCAAATCCTTCGTCACTCTGGCGGCTCTTATTTTTCTTCGGAGCGGTAAGCCTTGGAGAGAAAATTCAGCGATCTTCAAAGCGGAATATCTCGAAAACTACTAGTTCTACGTAAAAAATGATAAAGACTATTTTTGTAGGTAATTGCCTAAGCTTCATTTTTTATTCTAGCATTAAACAAATTTTGTAATTTGCATATTTTGGCAGATATTTGCGAAAAACTGAGTTTTCGGCCATTTGGAGCTGAGCACAGTATTACAATTTTTCCTCTAAAACTCCTCCCCAAAAGGTACACAATCTGCCTAAAAAGACAGGATCGACGAATTACACCGAGACTAGGGTCTTTTCGTGTCCTTATTGGACTAATCAAAGAATCGGGATTCGAGTAATTAATAATTCTAGGTCGTGGTAGCAATGTTACCTTAGCATGGGTATCAGGGCACGAGGGTTACAAGGGTAACGAAAAGCCAGATGAAATGGCCAAATAAGACTTCTCAATGCCATTCATAAGTCCACAACTCTACTTCGGAAACTTCTAGACTTTCTACTTTGCAAATAATTAATTAATTCAATTGTAGTGATAGGTGGCTAAGGAATCTCTAGAATGATGGAGAAACTTAGCAGTGCAAAGACAGACGAAAAAAATTCGCCAAAATTTACGACAGACCTTGACAGTCAAAGCTGTAGTGGGTCTACTAAGAGGGCGTTGTAAGCTGAATATGCATCTAATGCTAATAAGATTGACAGACGAAGTCATGTGCAGGTTCTGTCATTCTGAAGAAGAAACGACAGAACATATGTTATGTCGGCACTAGATAATAGGCAATGATAGGCCATTTACAGAGAGCTATATGGATGGTTCAGTCTCCAAGCTGCTAGACTTTTTGACAATGATAGGACTGGAGAATGAGAACCTAAGGATCAGAAGAGGATCACAATACTCAAAAGGTCGCAGTAGATTAGGCCGATGGCTACCTCGAAGTATCTAATCTATAATCTTACTAATTTACCAGAGCAGTTAAGAACTTTGTGAATGCAGAAATGTAATCTAGGTATATAGGTACTTACAAATAGTTGTATTTTGAACTAAAATGATTGTTAGCCCCGGGACTACCCAGAGGCGAATATGCCGTCAAAGCCACCTGTAACTGTTTGCAAACTTCTTTTAGGTTTTTTTGCTGAAGGTAAGCGTGCATTTCCACTTGCAGTACGGCCGGTTTGATTTCGGAATTATTGTACAGTCTTTGAAGTTGCTCGGCATTGAAATTTGATACACCGATCGCTTTAACTAGTCCTTTCTGTACTTGTTCCTCCATTACCTAAAATAATAATATTGTATGTAATAAAACATTTTCACTCCTTCGCTTAAGATTGTGGTGATTTAGGATAACTTTTCCTATTTCTTATAAACAGAAAAATATAGAAGGCGACCAAGACGTTATATTATGGCTGTTTAATAGAGTATTATAGATATGTACCATTTCTTGGAATTTTCGAATTTAAACAAGTAGCAGAGAAAATTATATTTTAGTTTGAACCTTAGACCTTACTATACAGTGTGTCCATTTTAAAACTTCCCACCCTTAATATCTTTTTTGCAGTTAAAAATATGAAAAATCGGAAAGACACGTCAATTTTATTAGTAAGGGGGACACTTTAAATGAATATTTTTGGCATTTTTATTTCAACCCCTTAGGAGGGATAGATGTCACCATTACAATCTTAAATGGGAATGGGGGTCAAGTGGCACATCGTTTTAAAGGATATTATTCTCTTTTCAGTGGTATCCTACTTTGTTGCTTTTTGTCCAGAGATTTCCTAATAATCGCGTTTCAAAGATGCAGAAACAATTAAACATGCCTGCATTGAGATTTTGGTTTTCAGGCTAGTGTTTACACAAAAATTATTGCAGTGGATCTCCTTGTAGTACAAATGATTAGAAGATTAGGTGGCAACATGGACGTAGCCATTACATTTTTCTAGGGGGTCGAAATTCGAAATACTAATAAACAGAAAACATCATAAACATTAACGTTTCCTTTCTTAAATTCGAATGAGCGGCAACCTCTAATCAGTTTCACAGGAGGAATTGTTAACATTCCAGCAGGACGGTGCTCCAGCTCATTATTTTTTTTTAGTCCGACAGTGGGCGACAATGCGAATTACAGCAGAATGCCAGAAATTTTCCGAAATCTTAGGGAGGTATTTGAAAACAGACTTTATTACTGTTTACGGGAAAATAGACAACATTTTGAACAACTTAAGGCGTAAGTGGTGTAACCTAATCTTCTCATTTGTACTACAAGGAGATCCATTGCAATAACTTTTGTGTAAACACTAACCTGAAAACCAAAATCTGGCACGTTTAATTGCTTCTGCACCTTTGAAACGCGATTATTCTGAAACCTCTGGATAAAAAGCAATAAAGATGGATACCACTGAACGTTCCTCACTCCGGACGTTCAAAAATCTCATTGCTTTGTTGCCTCTTTACTTTTTGGTTGTCGCTGTTAACTGAGTTTACAATAATTCTTCTCCATTCCGTTCTATTGCTTGTGCGCTGCTTCTTCCCACTCATTTTGCTTGTTAATCCCCTTTAAGTTTTCGTGGAAAATATCCTTGTACCTTTTGAGTTGTCCACCCGGCCTCCTCTTACCGTCTACAAGCTCACCGTAAAGCAGAGATCTTGGTATGCGGTTTTCTTGCATTCTGCATACGTGACCAGCCCATCTTAAGCGGGACTTTGTAATCATGACTTCAATACTCTCGCAGTTAGCTTTTTGAAGGACCGATACGTTTGAGACATGATGGAACCATTTGATTGTTAAGAGTTGTCTAAGATGTATCTGTTGCAACTTGTTTAGTGCGTTCGTGTGTCGGCGGTATGGCACCCAGGTTTCGCTTCCATATAACATGGTGGGAATTATTATTGCTCGGTACACTGCAAGTTTCGTTTTTGTGTTCAAGTCATGATTGTAGAAAACTCTGTCTTTTAATTTCCAGAATGTTCTTGATGCGCTGCTAATCCTGTGCTTAATTTCAGAGTCGATATTGGCCTTTTCCGAAATCAAATTGACGAGGTAATTGAATTCCGCTACATATTCTAATAGTTCTAATACACGCTCTTAAATACACGCCAAGCCCACGTCATTTCTTCACCTTCTTTAATGAAAAATTATGAGATGATGTTGTTCTTTAACGAGATAATATGCGGGAATGCCCGCACACCGTACTTAATACCACTTTTAATTAAAATTTTAAATGGATTTTATTGAAACATGTTTTATTCTTACCTTCCAAGTATCAACAAAATCAACATTGTCCAGGCTGAAAGAACCGTCTTCGTTTACCAGTGGTGATAGTGTGGTTTCGTTCAAGTGAAAACTGAAGGGCATATGCATTAGGTACAAGTCCACGTAATCCGTTTGCAATCGCTGTAATGACAGTTTCAGGAATCGTTCCACGTCGCTGGGTCTGCTGCCAAAATTGGGGAGCTGAAAAGGATTTTATTACTCAAATTTTCATCTTTATTTATATTAATCTACAAGTAAAAGAAATTTTAGAAATGATTAGTGTAAAAATGGACATAAATTTATCTGCTGGGGAAACGAATGAACATGTTACTAGTGATTTCATTTTGTGAGGAAAATTACTTCTTAGCCTCAAAGGCTTATGCTCAAAGATATCCAAATAAGAATCTCCCTGAGAAGCGTTCCTTTGAAAAACTACTTGTTCTATTTCGCAAAGCTGGTAGTGTGGTTTATAAAAAAAACTATTAGTCAGACACCTATCATTGGAAGTGAAGAAAATGAATTTGCCGTAATTGGCCCTTTCATAAAAAAATCATATATCTACAAAAGTCATCATAAAATAAATCAAAGAACTACTTCTTCGTTTTTCTTGATAAATTTATAAAAACATATTTAATAAATATTAATTATTAAACTATTGTAGGTCAATTAAATAAAAGTAAACTCCTGAAAATTTAAATACGCCATAAACTTTTTTCTAACATAAAATTTCGATTTTCAAAATAGCTACTAACTGTTTCTAGAAATTTGCCATGACTAGCCCTCTTCGTTGCCGTTTTATTGAAAAATTGCTCTTTATTCAAAATCTGAGCTAGATAGGTATATGACACTCTTATATAGTTTGAAAAACTCTTATTGCATTTGAAATAACTATGTTTCCATATAAAATAAATATTTAAAATAGACCACCAATTTTTGATACCCCTGTGTAAACGAAGCAATCAAATTTTTCAGTAAAGTTTATTTCTCTGGCTTAAAAATCAGCACAAGAATTAATTCTGAAAAGCAATGTACAGGGTGGCTCGAATTCGATGACGTTCATGATTGGGATTTCGGAAACCGTAAGAGATACAGGATCGGTTAAATGGAGGCAAAGTTGTGCAATTTGATGCTCAATAAACTGCCGTATTGCATTTTGAAAAACTCCGAATATATTCGAAAAAAAAATAGAATTTTGAATTTTGTTTTCTATTGTTTCCTGGCTTTCTTTGTTAAGATAACTTAAAATGAAAAACACATTTTCATGGCCATTTTTCTGCTCTATAACTCTGTGTGATTAAATATTGACTTTGACGTTTCGGCTTCTGGCGACCATTATCAACTTAATTTTTTTAAATACGGACCTGATTTTTTTTTACAATTTAATTAAATCCTTTCATCACTCTTAAAATACTAGTGACTATATTACAGTCACTTTGATATTTGCCGACGTTTCGTACAGAAAATTCCATCACCAGAATATTTTATGCAAAAATAAAAAATAAAAATGCAATACGGCATTTTATTGAGCATCAAATTGCGCAACTTTGCCTCCATTTAACCGATCCTGTATCTCTTACGGTTTGCGAAATCCCAATGATGAGCGTCAAATTCGAGGTACCCTGTACAGGGTGTTGACAATCGTTTTTTTAGAGCATGCATATTTAAATATCTCTAAATATCTCAAAAACCAAAGCTTGAAATATTTAACCCTTATAATAAATGCCTTATTTTGTGTCCAAGGGCCCAAAAATGAAATAAAATACCGGGTGTTCCGTAAGAAAAATATAACACACTTTGGTGTGGATCTTAGTTCTGACATACCCTTTACATTTCAAAATAATTTTAAATTATGCACGTATGCCCACATATACCCATAAAATATTTTGTTTCTACATCTTTCCGTTTTTGTATAATCAACAACAAAAAAATGTTGTATAATCAACAGCAAATGAGGTGTAACACCCTGTAGGATATGACATTTTGATTTGTAGACTGTGAATTTAATGACAAATCCACTAAGCTAGAAAAATATATAGCATTACATTTAAAGATATACAAGTTTAGTTTGAAAATATGTTTGAGTCACCCTGTATATTGATTTTTTTAAATGTGCGTTATACCTATTTTTTTTAATTGAAGTATAAATCTCAAACCAGAAACTTGATACATAAATTTTTCTGAATGTTGTTTCGCTCTGTAGAATTAAAAGGAGCTTTTTTCAGTGCGTACAAAATTTTAAAAATTCTAGTATCTATACCAATGCATTAATTAGTATGTATGTATCAAGCCGACAATAGAGGAAAGCTTAACCAATTATCATCTAAGATTAAAGGGACGTTTTTTTTAAATTTTATTAGTACTCTTCACATTACGCAGGCTTTTTGACACAGTCATTGACATTTGTAAAATTTTCCGAAGTTGTACAATTATCTAGATTTTCGCTGTAAATTGATAATTGTTAAAACAGTAAGCTATCTGAAAATTAAATTAGTTGAATAAATGTGAATTTTTAGCGGAATAATTTTAGGGTAGGTATATAGACGCCAGTGTGGTACCAATCTGAGTAATAAAATTGAAATGGATTATTTTAAATAGTGAAAAATAAGAAACGGGGATTCACATAAACGAACTATCAGCAAGGCTGTAACATTCATTATCTATGGCTGTAATCAATAGGAAAAATCTCTTAACATTTTTGCTGACTAATTTTCAAATCTTACACTTAAAAAACGTTAACTCTAGAAACAACTTCTAACCATATAATAATAATATATACAGGGTGGCGCACCTCATTCGCCTCGGTTGATTATACGAAAACGGAAAGATGTAGAAACAAAATGTTTTGTGGGTATATGTAGAGAGGCAATGTGCATAATTTAAAATTATTTTCAAATGTACAGGGTGTGCCAGAACTAAGATCCGTACCAAAGTTATATTTTTTCTTATGGAACACCCAGTATTTTATTTCATTTTTAGATTCTTGGACATAAAATAAGGCATTTATTATAAGGGTTTAATATGTTTAAATTCTTTAGTTTTTGAGATATTTAAATATGCATGCTATAATAAAAAGGTTTGTCAACACCCTGTACATTACTTTTCAGTTAATTCTTGTGCTGACTTTGAAGCTAGAGAAATTAACTTTACTAAAAAATTTGATTGCTTTCTTAAATGTATACAGGGGTATCAAAAATTGCTGGTCTATTTTAAATATTATTTTACATAAAAACTTCGTTATTTCAAATGCAACACTATGTATTTTTTTAAATAAGTCGAATCAGATTTAAATGCTCTTTCAAACTATATTAGGTTTTCCTATCTGGCTCAGATTTTGAATAAAAAGCGATTTTTGAATACAATGGCAATCAAGATGGCTGGTGTCGCTATGACAATTTGCTCGTGACAGTTAGTAGCTATTTTTAAAATCGACATTAGTTTATGGGCTTTATTAAAATTTATAACAGTTTACTTTTATTTAATTTACCTCCAATAGTTTAGTAAGTAAGTATTTATTATTTTATCAATAAAAATAAAGAAGTCCCAGGTAGCAGGAGCACGTCACAATGACGTTATTATATGGTGATAACTCGTCAATACTCGTCATGTATTCCAAAATAACCAGAAATTGACGACATAATGACGTCAGATAAATGACGCCAAAATGATGTAATATCATATCACGTCATTTTAACGTGATTTTCGGGTGATATAATATGTATCATATACCACACTATCGGCTCCGTTAAATAGGAAAAGTAGTTTTTCAAAGGAACTCTTGCCAAAAAAAGTCCTATTTGGATATCTTATAAATATATCCATAAATAGATAAATAGATAAACCTTTCAGCACCCAACAAGCAATTGTCCTCACAAAATAAAATCACTAGTAACATATCCATTTCTTCCGCCAGCAGATACTGCTTCATTTTTCTTGATAAAATAATAAATACTTATTTATTAATCTTATTGTAGGTAAATTAAATAAAAATAACCTGCTATAAATTTAAATAAAGTCCATAAACTAATGTCGATTTTGAAAATAGCTACTAAGTGTCGCTAAAAAAATTTAAAAAAAATAAAAAATTACCATGGCGACACCAGCCATCCTGATAACAATTTTATTGAAAAACGGATTTTATTCAAAATCTGAGCCAGATAGGTATAGGAAACCCTAATATCGTTTGAGAGAGCATTTAAATCTGCTTCGAAGTTTTTAAGGAAAATAAATATTTAAAATAGACCAGCAATTTTTGACACCCCTGTATACATTTAAGGAAGCAATCAGTTTTTTTAGTAAAGTCTATTCCTCTGGCTTGAAAGTCAGCAGAAAAATTAATTCCGAAAAGTAATGTACAAGGTGCTGACAAACTTTTTTATTATAGCATGCATATTTAAATACCTTTAAATATCTCAAAAACCAAAGCTTTTAAACATATTAAACCTTTATATCAAATGCCTTATTTTATGTTCGAGAATCCAAATATGAAATAAAATACCGGGTGTTCTATAAGAAAAAATATAACTTTGGTGTGGATCTTAGTTCTGACACACCCTGTATATTTGAAAATAATTTTTAATTATGCACATTGCCTCTCTACATATACCCATAAAATATTTTGCTTGTACATCTTTCCGTTTTCGTATAATCAACCGAGGCGAATGAGGTGCGCCCACCCTGTATAAACAATACATACAAAAGCAAATAATAATTATTTGAGCTAATGTTATATTTTATGTAAAGTTCCTGCCAGTTGTAATCTGGATGGAACCTACTTTGTGAAAGCGGTCATCCAAAATGCCTTATGAATAGGAATGTCTAAGTGGACTCTACTATGACTCAAATAAATCTGATTTTATCCGGTTTAGGTTCCGTTTATCTGGTGATTAAATTTGATACAACGAAAGAAACATATTTTAAAGTCCGATTATGAATCCGATTCTTATTTTTGTTACTTGTTAGAAAAGATTTTGTTAAACTCTTACCTTTGTTGTAATAAATAAGTCTTCCCTTTTCCCCTTTCCACTGTCAATCCATTGTTTAATACTTTTGCCAATCGAATCTTCGTTGTTGTAATTAAATGCAGTGTCTAAAATAATAAACAATTATTTATTATTTACTGTAATGAGGGTACAGCTATTATAATATTGCGGTTTTAGATTTAGATCAGTTTATGGAAAAGACCATGGAGGAAGCGTCATTGGAGGTAGCAAATTGCTTTTTATCAATTAAAGCATTGTATTTAGCAGGGGTGGATGGGGAAGTGGAAACCGGCCCGGGAAAAACAGGCAACAACCACAAAAACAAAATGACCCTAACGAAGAAACATGTTTTATTTATTAATATACAGGGTGTCCCAGAAATGAGTGCAGATATTTTAAGGGGTGGTAGATCTGGTCAAAATAAACATATTTTCTCTTTAGCATTTTTAAAATAAATTGAAAATAACCGAGTTATTTAACTTTGAAAATTTAAAAAAATAATCGCAACATTTTGAGAACCACCGGCAGATATTGCCAACTACATCCAATTACCCGGATCAAGCCCGGATTTCAGTTAATTTGACGCACTGTGTTGCCATATGGACAAGAAAGTATATGTTTACACGTAAGTCATAAAATCACAACACTTGAGGAGTTTGCAGAGGTGCATTACATTTTTAAGATTGTGATATTATTACATAAAATAAATTAAAAGTTAAATGTTTAAAAGTTAAATTAAAAAACTTACCCAACATTAAAAAAGATACTTATGACAGATCGATGTAACTGCGACAGTTCTCTTTTTCGATACACACTTACCTAAAATACACTTCATTGTGCTGCTTTTACTTGTAACGTGCTATTATAAAAACTGCTAAAATAACAGTCCCCATTTTTTAACCTAACACATTATTTTCATATAGGCTTCATCACAATTTGAACCACTGATTTACAAAACACCTTGAAAAGCACACATTACTTTGAATATCTTTCTGAATGAATAAATGTTGAGAATTATTGTCTCTTACCGCCACTTTACGAACTACTTTCAATCTAAGAAAATACATGTTTCACTCAACAATTTTAAATACGTATTTTGCTTTTTCGTTATTTTTTCGATGTATTTCGACAATTCAGAAAAACATGAAATGAAACAAACAAAACACAAATGAATTGATTATTGATAAGGTCACAAAAAAGAAATTTCTAAAATGTTTATCGTAATTCAGAATTCAATATATCGAAAACAGCCCGACGAATAATCAATTCATTTTCGTTTTGTTTGTTTCCTTTCATGTTTCTCTGTTTTATTTTTAAAATTTAATACAAATTTGATTGCTTCGAATGTCTTGAATTTGAAATTGTTGTAACTACGGCAACGTTGCTTAACATCGTCGTCTGACGCAAGCCTGCCACGACGGCGCGGCTCAAAGGACCAGTTCACACGTGGCACTCTTGGCCGACGCGCGAGTGTTGGGCTTTTAAAATACATCGAAAAAATAGCGAAAAAACAAAATACGTATTTAAAATTGTTGAGTGAAACATGTCATAGATTGAAAGTAGCTCGTAAATGGCGATAAGAGACGGTATTCAAAGTAATGTGCGCTTTTCAAGGTGTTTTGTAAATCAGTGGTTCAAATAAAACAGAGAAACATGAAAGAAAACAAATATTGAATTCTAAATTACCATAAACATTTTAAGAATTTCTTTTTTGTGACCTGGTTGTGAATAATATGATGAATCATTTTCGTAAACGTCATAAACGTAATGTTTTAGTTAATTTTCGGTGGTTTTTGTTAAATTTTCATTGAAAGGGTAAGTACTAAAAATAATTAATGTGTTTTTTTTCTATAATAATTATTAATAATGAGCACTGATAAAAATTTAACATTCCTAATTTTTGAGTAGAAATTTTTCTATGAATTTATAAATGTAGAACTATGTAGAATGTGGATAACATAGGAGGTTGCAACACTGCAAGGTTTAGATACACCGTAGAGAAATCTCAGGTGAAGTGGCACTAAAAAGTTTTTTCAAATTTCCCGGAAAATGTCAAGAAAAATTTTAAATTTTCAACATTTTTTTTTCGCAAAAAAAACCCATAGGCGTGTTTCTGGGGTTGAACTATACTACCAGTTAAAGTATTTGCACTTATTTCTGGGACACCCTGTATAAGTAAGGGTGTTTTTCGCTCGTGTGAAAAAGCTCTTTTGCCTCCGGTTTAAAAAAAATTAAATTGTCTTTTTTGAAAGTTTTTTTATACATGTTTTTAACTGAATGATCCGCGGTCGCCATTAAAACTGCAGCATTTTTTAGGTTATTATATAGTTCTTATCACGAAACTTTTCCTCTGTACTTTTCTACATTTGGCATCTTGTATGATAATGCCATGACTCAAACGAAAAAAATCTAGGCAATACCTAGGCAGTGGATATAAATGTGTTCTGATGTAATGCTATGTTACAGTCCATAATAAGAATATTTGGATTTTCGAGACATATTAATATTTTATTATCTAATATAGTTTAAACCTTATTTAACTCTTCTCTGCTGTCTTAGTAATTTTTAGCAAATTCATTTTAGCAACATTTTAAACAACAATTTAGACTTGGCTTTTAGTTCTCAGACTTGGCTTTTAGTCCGTCCCCAATTCAAACCAAGCATTCTTCTTCTTATCGGCGATGGTTGGCGATCCAAATGGCAATTGTGGCTCTGGAAACTGAAGCCCGGAAGATTTCCGCAGACGAGCGTTCAAACCATCTCCTCAAATCTTTTAACCATGAGTTCTGGCGTCTTCCTATTGATCTTTTCCCTTGCAATTTGCCCTCTATTATGAGGCGCAGTATTTAGTATCTACCATCTCTCATCACATGATCCAGGTATTGCATTTTTCTTTCCTTGATGGTGTTCAGTATGTCTTTTTGTTTCTGCATGCGCTGGAGTACTTCATCGTTGGTGATCCTTTGTACCCATGAGATTCGCAGCATCCGTCTGTATACATACATTTCGAAGGCTTCTATTTTCTTTTCGGTCTGTGAATCCAGTGTCCAGCTCTCACATCCATAGAGTAACACAGATAAGACGTAGCATCTGACCATTCGAGTTCTGAGTTCCGCACTGAGGTCTCGTCTTTTAAAAAATTAAAATGCTCAATTTTTGAAAATATTTCTCTTTTCGGGTCGCACTGACTGTTGATGTTAGCTCCTAAATACTTTATTGAGGTCACTTGTTCGATTGTTTGTCCCTTGACACGCAGGTGTGCATTTATTGGAGTCTTAGAAAATATCAATAGTTTGGGCTTGGAGACATTGAGATGCAGTTCAAACATCTTACTATAGTGGACTACGGAATCTATAATGCTTTGCAGTTCTTGTATATCATTGGCTATTATAACCGTAATAATTAATAATAAATGAATAAACCAAGCATAGAGATGTTTTCTCCGTTAACCGCAGAGTTCGCGTCAAATTCGTGCTCGAAAAATATTGCACCGAGGCCCCCAGTTGTCAATCTACGCTGTCGTTCTTAGTATACATTTAGATCGAGACTATTTAAATTTACCTAATGCTATTCATTCTTTTTTCTGCTGCCAGTCAGTCATATTTATTAGTTAGTAATAAAAGAATAGTGGGTAAAACTCTCGGTAAAACTATACCGGGTGAGTCTTAAATAAGTGCAAATATTTTCGGGGTGGTATATTTCGACCCCAGGAACACATCTATGAGTTTTTTTTGCAAAAAAGATGTTAAAAATCGAGCAATTTCTTTTAAATTTTCCTGTATATTTTAGAAAACATTTTAGAACTTCCTGTTCACCGCAAATTTTCCCACGGTATAGTTTCTTAATCTCTGACGTTACGGCACTAAAAGAGATGCAAATATCGAAAAATTTAGGTGGCTCAAATTTTTTTAAAAATAAATCTATTTTTTTAAATTTCCAAACTTTAATAACTCGATTGGACTTATTAGAAACTCGATAAAGACAATATATTACGTTTATTTTATTGAGATCTACCAGCCCTCAAAATATTTGCATTTATAGACTCACCTTGTATAATAAAAATTTTCAAACCGAACAAACAACAGATGATTATTAAAATTATAAGTGTCCCAGAGAAAGACATTTTACAATAGTTATCTATGCAAATTTATTAGTTAGTCATGGAGTCACTGGATCTTACGTCACTTTAGTTAGAAGATTAACCATTTAATTTTTGCTAATCCAATCTTTTTTTGAGCTCTAATCGAGACCGGCCCATCTTTCCACCGGCCCACCGGGAATTTTCCCGTTCTCTCATATGGCCCATCCACCCCTGGTGTTTAGTGATGTTTTCCTTGCTAAAATTACCTACAGACAGCGCGTATAAACTAGAACAAATGCGCAGAGACAAAAAAGTTTCTATATTTACTGTTTTATATGCTAGAAAATTTTATATTTTAAAATTAGTCAAAATATATATTTTTTTGAAACAAGTCAATAGTAATATAATTTTAGTTCACTCTTTATAAACCTCCCTGAAAAGATCACCTGATTCTTTTAGTATATCTAGTTTTTTAATTTTTTTAACGGTTTTGTAGATATTCCCGGTTTTGTATTTCATATGGCATTTTCCACAGTAAATTTTCATCAAAGCCACCCAATGATATTTCTCTCGTATTTTACATTGAAAGCGCCATATGAAATAATACTGCGTGTATCTGGAAAGCTATTAAAAATTCTGAAATACTTTAAATACAAAAAATGTTCATTTTTTAATTCTTCATCTAATAAAAAAGTAATATACAGGGTGTTCCATTAAAAAAAAACGAAGAAAAATTATTTTATATTTTAATAAGTTTGGCATAAAATATTGAACATCCTGTATGATTTACGATTACCATATTTATAGCAAAGTAAGAACAGACCATCTAAAGTAAATACCTAATATAGTTTGGATTTCAGAACAGTTCTTGTATTTTTAATATTTTTTTTAAGAAGAGTTGAAAAATATATACCTATTTTTGATTTATTTTTTAATATATCTGAAACTAATCTAAATAGATTTACTCATATCTTAGGGTTATGTAAAGTGATCTGAAAGGAAGCCAAAAATGCAATATAATATACTGGGTGTTCCATTTAAAAAAAATCATCCAGATCCACTCACACTTTTTTAAGCCACCCTATAGAAGTTAAAATATTTTCCGGAAATACATCGGTACTTTAGGTTTGCGCTTAAACAAAATTCTCAAGTTTTTTATTCTAGGAGCTACAGATGCCCGACGCACTATCGCCGGACCCTGTATATGGTAGTTCTATGTCCACGGAATATTTGGACACCCTGTATATTTAAAAAAAATGACAAAATTTTTGACATTTAGTTACCTTTATCAGCCTATATGTAGTTTTTTTACTGGTATATTATAATTTTGCTCAAAAGAAAAACATAAAAGATATTTTCTGCTAAAATTTACTAAATTCTATTTTTTTATATTGGCAAAGAGATGTTTGTATTTCAGAATTAAGCACTGACGTTTCGTATTAAAAACAGCAAAAGAAATTTTAAAATGTTTCGAATTGTTTTACTTACCGATATGCCTGTATCCTGATTCTAGGGCTACGTTCACCGCATTCTCCACTTCCTGAGGCTGAGCCCTCCAAGTGCCCAAACCCACCACGGGCATTTCCAGCCCGCTGCCCGTCAGTTTGATCGTTTTCATTTTAGTTAAAATTCTTATCCACGAAATTTTTGCAAAATTTTCGCTGCTACAACTGTCTGTTCGGCTTGGCACGCGCTATCTATTCTGGACCGTGCGATCTTGAAACTGTATTTTTAGTGATCCTACACGGTGACGTTTTCCAAAATGAACAAGCGCTAATCACGGACAATGTGTGTTATTATTCACCTGATTTTTTCCACAAGGTTCTATGGAACATCGGTCTTTTTGCTGGTTATGGAAAATATTGATTAGAACAACGATGAAGGTCACAATTTTCTTATAGTTAGTTACATTTACACCTTTAAAGTGTAAGGCTGGTGTAAGGTCATTAACATTGCTATAAATTTAATTAATATAACTCGTAATTTTTTCCAGACAATTTTTCATATAAATTAAATAATAACTTTATTATTTTTGTAATAAATAATTATATCATTTATTAATTTACTATTTAGTCATTATTCAAAATTATAATAAAGAAAAATCTACTTCTTAAATAATGTAAAAAAGATTTTAATAGTAATAAAATTTATTTTTAAATATGTAAAAAATATTTTAAGAAGTGTACGACATTTATGAAAAACCGTTCACAAGCCCGGCTAGCTCAGTCGGTAGAGCATGAGACTCTTAATCTCAGGGTCGTGGGTTCGAGCCCCACGTTGGGCGTAAACTTTTTTATTTTTTTATTTAACTTGAAAAATTTCCCAACAAACAAAGCAATAATTATTTATGACTGGTTTCAGCAGGTTTTCTAAATTATTTTCAAACATAACGGGTAAACAGTAAACAATAATCGAGCTTATGAATATACAGTGTGTTTCAAAAAGCATGTGCCATCTCTCGTGGGGTGATTCCTCACGTAAAAATAAGACTTATTTTTTATATCAACATAGGTCCGATTCTGCTTTGTTTCGTAGCTACAGGGTGTTAAAGTCTCAATAATCTTTCGATTTGATATAATTTTCTTCCAAGTACTTTTAGTGATTTGAATGGAATTTTGAGGGTGAAAGTTACTATAACTGTTACATATTTTAATGCTAAAAAGTGTTAATAGATGCATCAGGGACGTGCATATGGGTTATCACTGGGATATTTAAAAAAAAGGGCGCCACACACCAATTTTTTTCTTTTGATATCAACATTGTGTAGACCGTTTAATGCCAATTAGAAGTTATCTCTTGGTATTTTGTCCAGTTCGGCTTCCTTGATGAGATACACGCAATTTTATTAATCGCAATTAATAAAATTAAAATAAAAATAAAATTAATAAATTATATATTTTACCATATTTATTATTAAATATTACTACTGTTAGTTAGTATTACTATTAGTTCAACATACAGGAATTTTAAATAAAAAAATTGGCGCCGGGAGGCACGTATATCCGTCCATACCTGATATTTTTTTTATCTCAAAAACTGCGACTTTGACTGATTTTGATGTTATTACAAATTTTGTTGCAAATATTATTCCTAATCTTAAATTGAAAACCGCGTTTCGCTAGCTACTGTAATTTTGGAGTTACAATTTTTCAAAAATTTTAACCCTCTTCCATACCCCCTTACCAACCCCCACCCCCACCAAAAACTAATGGCCAGATTCTCGGGTGTCACAGTATTTTTGTGCCAAATTTGGTTAAAATCGGTTTAGCGGTTTTTGAGTTATCGTGTTACAGACGGACAAACAGACAGACGGACAGACAGACAGACAGACACCATGAAAATATTTTGTATTTAGGTCATTTATGACCCAAATAACTCATTTTGGGTGAAATTAAAAAAACTTTTTTGCCGATCTTAATAGCCTACCATACCTGTCGGTATCATCATCATCATCACGCAGCCCCCTTTCACGTCCATAGTTGAACATAGGCCTCCTCCAAACGTCTCCAGTTCGCGCGGTTTTTAGCTGTTGCAATCCAGGTAGTTCTTATTCGTTTCAGGTCGTCGGTCCATCGGGTGGGAGGTCTGCCTTCGCTACGCTTGTCGGCTCTTGGTCTCCACTCTATAAGTCTTTTGGTCCATCTCCCATCTGCCATTCTAGCAATGTGTCCAGCCCATCTCCACTTTTGTTTTGTGATTCGCTGGGTAATGTCATCCACTCCCGTGCGTCGGCGTATCTCTTCATTTCTTACTCGATCTCTCAAAGTCAGGCCAATCATACAGGGTGTTTCAAAACAAATGCGAAAAACTTCAGGGGGCGATTCCTTGTTCAAAATAAAGGGTAGTTTGCTTCATAAACGTTGGGTCAAAAGTCAACCATTAGGGAGATATTGCGGTACAAAGATGGCGGAAAAATAATGTTTTTATTTTTTATCTTGAAAACGAAAAGAGATAGACTAATAAAATTTTGTGGAAGCATTACTGATATGAAAACACACTTTCTGGTAATTTTTTCACTTTTTTAAAATGAGTGGAAGGGGTTGAAATAAACTACCCCTATCATTCTTGTTAATGAAATTTAAAGAAAAATCTTATCAAATACATGCAAAAAAATTAATTTGGATAGATTAGTTTGTTTAGAAACTTTTTATCTCTTGTATTTTTTGATAAAACTCACCGATTTGAAATTAAAAATAAAATGTAAAAGCATTATGTCAGGACAAAAACATTTTCTGATAAAGAATCTAGTGAGCTGCTGTAATTTTTAGGAAAACATCTAGTCGGCCGCTGTTACTTTTTTAGGATGTTCCTAATATTATTTTATTTGACATTACTCTACTGCAATACGTTATTATCTAGATGATTATTATTATCGTTATTATCACTAGATTCTTAATCTAAAAATGTTTTTTGTCCTGACATGTAATGCTTTACATTTTATTTTTAATTTCCAATCGGTGAGTTTTATCAAAAACACAAGAGGTAAAAAGTTTCTAAACAAACTAAACTATCCAAATTAAAGCATTTGCATGTGTTTGATAAGATTTTTCTTTAAATTTCGTTAACATGAATGATAGGGGTAGTTTATTTCAACCCCCTTCCACTCATTTTAATAAAGTAAAAAATTACCTGAAAGTGTGTTTTCATAACAGTAATGCTTCCATAAAATTTCATTAGTCTATCTCTTTTCGTTTTCAAGATAAAAAATAAAAACATTATTTTTCCGCCATCTTTGTACCGCGATATCTCCCTAATGGTTGACTTTTGACCCAACGTTTATAAAGCAAACTACCCTTTATTTTGAACAAGGGATCACCCCTTAAAGTTTTTCGCATTTGTTTTGAAACACCCTGTAGATCTCTCCATCCGCCTATGTGTCACTGTCAATTTTTGTGCGGTTGCTTTTGTTAGAGTGAGTGTCTCTGCGCCATAGGTCAAAACCGGGAGGATACATTGGTTAAATTTCTTTTCAGGTGTATTGGGATATTTGCTCTAAAGATGTCCCTCATTTTTCCCTGTCGGTATGGTCGGCTAAAAATAATGGTATTTAAGACAATTACAAAAAACCTAATTTTAAAAAGTTTTAACATCCTGTAACTCTAAAAGTATGCATTCCCATACCCATGTTTATAGAAACCTTTTTTCATATTTTTTGATGAGGAATCAAAGAGTACTTATTTAAAACTTTTGCAAGTTAATGATATTAACATTTTTTGTTGCTATTGACTTGGATCCAGGCAAATTAATAAAATTGCGTTTATCTCATCAAGGAAGACGAAATGGGCAAAATATCAAGAGACAACTTTTAATCGGCATTAAACGGTTTACACTATTTCGCTAACAAGGGAGAAAAAATCAGTGGCGTACATGCTTTTTTTAGGAAAATATTCCAGAGAAAACCCATATGCACGTCCCTGGTGAATATGTTGACACATTTTTAGCGTTAAAATATGTTGCATTTATAGTAAATAAAACTTTTACCCTCAAAATTTCATTCGAAACGCTAAAAGTACTTGGAAGAAAATTATAATATACCGAAAAAATTTTAAGACTTTATAACACCCTGTAGCTACGAAACAAAGCAGAATTAGACCTCTATGTTGATATGAAAAATAAATCTTATTTTTACGTGAGGAATCAGCCCACGAGAGATGACACATGTTTTTTAAAACACCCTGTAGAGAAAGGAGTACGCAATTTAAAATTTAGGAACATTACTTTAATTCAAACTAAAGTATGTACGGGAGTACCCTCGAGGAGAGGTATTATTCCAAAAAAAACTACATAAAGAAATTGCATATATTGATACATATTTGCATAATCTATACAGGGTGTTTTAAATAAGTGCAAATATTTTCAGGGCTGGTTGATCTCGATAAAGCGAACATATTTTCTCTTTACCTTTTTTCAAATCAGTCCAAAATAACCGAGTATCTACTGTCGTTCCTTTAATGAAACTAACAAATAATATAAATATAATATAATATAAACAATCAAATCTTTTCCCCGGAAGATGAATTGGAAATGGTGGAGAAGTATAATGGCCAGCGAAGTTCCTCGACGTATCGCCCCTTGGCATTATTTAACGTCATTTTTAAAAGTGAAATCAATACACCTCAACATTTATAACAAAGAGTACAAAATTCGGAAATATAGAAAGATATTTTTTTGCAGAAGTTTTTGGCGAGGTTGTCTCCTCTTTGTCCGGGCGGTTAAGCCAAGACCCTCCCACATTCTCTGCTCCTGTTACATGAGCACAGACAGTAGAGGGTGCCTGGTATGACGGACAGTCGTTATGTCTTGATGCAATTCCCTGTCCACGACACTACAGTCAGGGACAAGACAGCGTGATGCTCCTTAGACCCAGCCAAAGTGCTAGAAAGGATTCCCCCTAGCACCTGACTAGGAGCTAGGGGCGGATGGGGAAGTGGAAACCGGCCCGGGAATAACAGGCAACCGGCCCAAATGTACAAAAACAAAATAACCATAACGAAGAAACATATTTTATTTATTAATATACAGAGTGTCCCGAAAATAAGTGCAAGTATTTTAACTGGTAGTATATTTCGGCCTCAGAAACACGCCTCTCAGTTTCTTTTGCGAAAATTTCGAATTTTTTGAAAAAAATTTTGGAACTTTTTTTAGTTTTAAGTTAAAAAACATAACTTCTTGATAATCTGGCAACATAGGTAGTAGATTAAATTTACATGAAAGAAAATCCAGAGAAAATCCAGTGGTTCTCAAAATTTAAGCAAAAAAGCATTTTATGTTTAAATTATCAAAGCAAAATAACTCGGTTATTTTGGCCTTACTTGAAAAACGGTAGAGAGAAAAAATGTTTC